AATTTCAGAATCTTTCCCTATTCCGTTGTCATCTTGGTCCCTTTAGTTGCACCATCAGCTAGTTCCTTGGGGATCTAGTTTCTAAGAAATACTTACCAAAGTAAAAGACTCTACTATAGTTATTGGTCCTGTATATATTACAAGTTTAAGCTGTATTAAGATTGAATCGGAGCCCTGGCTGGCGTAGCTCAGTGGATGGAGCGCGGGCTGGGAACCAGTGTCCCAGGTTCGATTCCCAGCCAGGGTACATGCCTGGGTTGCAGGCCATAACCCCCAGCAACCGTACATTGATGTTTCTCTCTCTCTATCTCTCTCCCTTCCCTCTCTAAAAATAAATAAATAAAATCTTTAAAAAAAAAAAAAAGATTGAATCAGGTAGCACCATCTCCAGTGTTGTGGGTGCTTATTGCCACCAATAATGCTTTTAATTTTAATGGTGATTTTTATTGCTATCAGAGACTACTCTGTTCAGATTACCAAGATTTTTTTAAAAATTATTTTTAAAGTTTGTTTGAACCAAGATCCAGATAATTAATGTCCACATACATTCCAGTGAGTCTTTTAAGTCTAATCTTATATTCCTCTTTATCTATTTTTCCCCTTGCAATTTAAACAGTTTTACGAAGTGCTTAGATATGATATTACTTACATTTGCTTTTTGCTTGGTTTCGCAGTTTAATAAGTCTGTGGATTGTTGTCTTTTTTCCCCATCTGTCTTCTCCACCTGGAATGCCAATCAGTACATTGGGCTTTGTCCCAGTGCCATGAATGCTCTTTACATTCTATTCTGTATTTTCCTGTGTATTTTTCCCCCTCTTTTTTTTAAAAATCTAGTTGCTATTAACCTATCTACCAGTTCTCTTATTCTCTCTTCTGCTGTGTCTCATGTGAGATTTTTCTGTTGAGTTCTTAAGTTTCCATTTGATTCATTTATACACATGATTTTTCTTGATCTTTTCATTTTTCTTTTCCATATTTCCCTGAGCATATTAATCACTTATATTTATTTTGTTATAAATGTTAGCTGACTCCAAAATCTGGATTACTGGGTATCTGTTTCTGTTGTTTTGTTTTCAGTCAATGTAAGATACTACATTTTAAAGAGATTTTGGCTGTGTTTCATTGTTCTCTCTCCAGAGCAGATTTCACCTTCTTTCCTTTCTAGGCATAAAATGGGGGATGAAAACTTTAGTGAGCAAATTGGGACTGAGCTGAGTTGCAGCTGGGTTATAGTTTTGGCGAGGCTTTGTCCCTCTCCGGTCCCTTCTTAGAGCATAACCTTGTTTCTTAACCCCCATCTGGGAGAACCTGGTATGTTGACCACTGCCTTGCCACCTGAACTCTAATTCTAGTTTCATCAAAGTGAGACTGCCCCAGCCCTTCTCCCTATCTTTCAGAGGCTTTCTGCTTAGTTTCTTAGCTTCCTATCAATCACAGCTTCAGAATTTGCTAAGTGCCTTGGAAGGGTGAGTATCTGACATGTGTCTACTTAGTTTTTTGTCTTTCTTTTCACTGGGAATTTGGTTCTTCAAGTGTCTTATGTTGTCTCTTTAGCTGTATAAAACCATGAAAAGCTCTGCTCAATTCTGTGTCCCCAGAAGTGGCCACCTACCAAGGCAACGAAAATCTAAGCATCTTTTTCGAAATCACCCATTGTCCTCCAGAAGGTGTGTACCTCCACACTTCATGGTTCTTTGCTCTCTGAATCTTGGTTCTTCAATATTGTTATTGTTTTTAGCATTTCTCTTAATAGCTTAAATTTTTACAAATCGGGCCTTTTTAGTTATTCTCAGAGTTGCTGGTTTGCTGTAACCTACCCCTTTTCCTTATAATTTGTTTACTCTGAAAACTTGGTTATTTATTCCTTTGTATCTGTGGCTTATTTTTTTTTCTGATTGTATCCCTGTAGTGTAGCTTTCTTGCCATTGACATATCCAGCAATGCTTTTATTGGGTGCTGGACATTTAATTTTATGTGGTTGAAGTATATGGATTGTGTTATCTTCCTCTAAAGAGGCTTTGTTTCCTTGGCAAGTAAGTTACTTTAGGTTCAGTTTTTCCTTTATTAGGGATGGTGAAGAAGAGCTTATTTAATAGTGAACTGCACTCATCAATAGAGATCTTCTAGGGCCTTTCTTGAATGCTCCATGCCACTTTTCTGGTCACAATCAAAGCCTCCCACTTGTGTAAACTCTCAGAATCATTCACTTCACAGCTCCTCATTTGTTCCTTGCCCGACCTGATGGAATTTCACCTTGTATGTGGGCTTTGAATTGAGCAAACACGTGAGGATGTCATGAAGATTTCTGTACTGCTTCCTCTTTTGGAGAACTCTACTTCACAATTTCAAGTCACCTAAGCTTCTGAACTTGATCTCTTGGAGCTTCTTTCCTCAACTCAGTGAAACCATTGTGACTGTTTAGATCCATCACTCTGCCTGCTGTGCAGTCAGTAGGCAGTGTGCCTCTGTGCAAAAAGCTGGGTCTATTGCAGAGGCCACCTCATGTTTCTCAGTCATAGCTGCATGTAGTCCACTTTCCTAGTTTACAGCTGAAGGATAAATCGGATCACTGTTACTGCTTCATGGCTGGAAGTAGTTCTGTGGTATCATTTTCCCCCCATAATTTTATTATGAAATTATTCAAATATGGTAAGGTTGAATGGTTTTACAATGACTAGCTGTCAGCTGTATATTTATCCCAGAAGCTACCATTAACATGTTACCATATTTTATTGCATATCCATGTGCCTATCCATTCATTAATACTGTATTTTGCCATGTATAATGTGCTCCTGTGTATACTGTGCACCCATGTTTTTGGCCCAAACTTTCAGGAAAAAAATTTTTAATTTTTTAATTGAATTTTTAAAAATTTATATTTAGAAACAAAACTGATTATCATATTCCAGAGTGTTCTTTTGCATACAGATGTAGTTATTGCATTCTAAAGTTATACTTTTAACACATGAGCATAAATAAAAGAATTAAAAACATTTTTATAGATATGGAATTAGTACTACTCATGTATTATGTGTATCCTTATTTTTCCCTCAAAAATTTAGGCAAAAAGTGTGCATTATACATGGCAAAATACAGTGTGTTTCTACTGTGTCAAAAATCAGTGATGTTCCTCTGCCACATTTCCTGAAAACGGGTCATTGGAAATAGAGACTTGAACAAATTTAGTTCAGCTTTGTCAAGAAAACAAAAGGTGTCTTGGGAACTTGCATCAGAAGACAATGTAATGTTTTGTCTCTCCTTTTGTGTTACCAAGCCATTGGTGGTCATTGCCTGGATCTGTTATTTCATTAGGAATTGAATAATGGAGGCATTCTACTTGTATCGTTTCTATTTCATTTATTAGCTAGGCTTTACCTATAAAGAGAAAGTTACCCTTTTCAACTATTTGTTTACCCTAAGTTATAGTTTGTACAGGAAAAAAAGCATAATTAATGTTTTCTTCTTTTTGTCTACTAGTTTTCAAAATAATAAGTTGGTTTTCTACCATTTTCCAAGGGCAGTCATTGAAGTCTTTGGTGGAAAGGGGAGTATGTATAGATTATGAAGTCATAGATATAAACATACCTGGACTATTCAGGCCATTGATTTTTTTTTTTTTCAATGTTCTGATTAGTAGAAGCCTCTTCAGGCTTACTCCTGAGTCCTATTGTCTTGACTGCATAGTCTTGAGCTTTCTTAGTTCTCACTATTAGTATTTAATGGGAGCCTGTCCTTTGAATTTTTCTAGGAGGCCTGGCCATAACTTGAGCCCCATGGTTTTCAACAATTTTACCTTCGCAGGAAACATTTGGCAATGTCTGTAGTCATTTTTTATTGTCACAAAGAGGGAGGAAGGAGGATGCTTTTTTGTACCATGGACAGAGGCCAGAGATGCTACTGCTTACCTGCAGAGTACAGGGACAACCCTCACAACAAAGAATTATTCAGCCCAAAATGTCAAAGCTGCTTTTGAGAAATCTTGCCATGTACTAGTTCAGCTAGCATTTGTGTGGCTTTTTTAAATTTTATGAAATGATTACTTTTCCTACAATTCATGAAGTTCACCTTGCAGGACCTTTATTGACAAGTAAATTTGAGGAGATCATATGACTTTGCCAAAGATCATATGACTAACCTTCACAGGACCTTCTTTGCATGCCACCCATCTTATGTGGTTGCAAGAAGTAGGCAGTTGAAGAATGTTAATATAAAGACCACATTGTTGTTTCATATTTATTTTTCTCCTATACATGTCCATAAAGTCAAACAACTTTCAAGAGATGTCTGTGCTAAAACTAAATGCAGCTCTTGCTGTTGTTACAGTCTTTACTAGCAAGTTTTGATGCCACCCTGCTGTCTTTATTACGATACTACCGAAAAGATGTTCCTGGCATCTTTTCTCATAGTGCCTTTCCACAGGCAAGTTTTTTCTCCTAGGATTGCGTGTTGCCCAAATGATTTGTTAATGGGACATAATTTGGCAAATGCTAGACTTGTTCTAAAGAGTAGCTAATGAGTTCCGTGTAGGCCAGGAAAACTTGCCACCTTATTTGAGATACCTGAAAGTCTTTTTTCAGGGGAGATGTGACATGTAGTTGCTTTTTAAAGTTCTTAGGTAGAAGTTACTGGAGAGAGCAAGTCACATCCCACCCGGGAATCAGGAGCCAACTATTCACCTTAGCAGATGGTTGAAAACATGTAGGTTTTGTAAAGTGTTCTTAGAACAGTTTTAGTGGCTCTGAAGTATTACAAGTTTGATATGTAGGTAGCACTTAGAGCTTCAAGTAACTGGATTTCGTATTATTAAAGAAGAAGCAAGTTTACTGTATTACTTTGAAGATTCATTTGTTAGAGAAATGGAGGTCTTAACAAACTAATCATATTTTGTTAGCAGTGTCACAGAGGTATCTAGAAAGGACCTTTTGTACCTTTGGTATAATGCGTGGAGAGCTGGGTTTTTATCAGACACTGAATTGTCAGTTTTCTTTGGCTCTTCGCAGGTTCACCGGAACAGCCCAGTGCGCTCTGGCTGTGATGTGAATCCCTTCTGTGCTCTGTGCGGCTCAAGCAGTGCCAGCACCATGCCTCCAGAAATCCACTACGAAGCCCCTCTGTTGGAACGACTATCCCAATTGGACGCTTGTGTTCACCCAGTTCTGGCATTTCCAGATGGTAAGAATGGCCTCAAAATATAGTCTAATGAATAAGACTTACAGGCTGGAAAGTGAAAGATAATCAGCCAAGATCCTGGTATGACTCAGGTATTATGATGGAATCACTTTCTACCAACAAAAGTCTTTTCATAATTTTGCAAATAGGATGCAACAGATCCATCAGACCAGAATGTGCCACTAAAAATTGTAACTTGCCAAGAGATTTTCCCCCAACCCTTCAAGTGACTAGATGGGGTTTAGGGGCAGTTGGTTCCTTCATTATACTCCAGTATATCTTTAAAAATGTATTGTCTGTGTGCCCCATGTTGTAAAATAGTGTGGGCAGCACTGTTCTGAGAGAATGTTTTCATTTTGGGGGTGTATGTATTACTGGGGATGGTTACAAGACAGCTTTCCCGGGTGTGCATAAGCATAGATCTTCAGTGGAAGCGTGTACTGTTTTTCTAAGATACCAATCTACCTGATAAGCCTTTGTGTCTGCCAATTTTTCTTTTCTACCTCTTTTTTTATAATTGTTCTTCTTCCATTTCACTAAAGAAAGTCATTCCTCTTACCTATATTGAATCTGTTTTCTGTTTTGTTTGGTTTTTCCATATTGAGTCTCAGTGTGGGTCTTGCTCCCAAATGTAAAAACTGTAGGCAGTAGGGACGCCAAACAAAGGGACCATTTCCAGGAATACATGGCACCTAAAGGAGAATCCCATGGAAGTAAAATACAAAAAAAGTTTGAATTAAAAAATTAATGACGGTGGACGTACCTTATTTTGTTTAGATTCTGTGCCTTATTTTGTTTAGATTCTGTGTTTAGGTCTGTTATCGTAGAGTAAATATTAAGAGGGTAACTGAAGTTAGACTTTAACTAAAAGTCTGATGGACTAAATAGGTTTAAAAGAAAGATTTGTTTCTTCAGCTAATTAAGCTAAAATATATTTACATGACAAAGTGTTGATAAAAATATTTTTAAAGCATATGTAATATTTTAGAAAATACAACTTTTACAACTATCTGAATTTATGATTTTTTAAAAAATTGTATTTCATATGGGGGAGGGACGTGAGCAAAAATGTTGAAACCACTGCTCTAGATAGAGGCTATAGGAAGCCAGTACTTTTATCTGTATCGATTTAATTGATTTTTTGAGATAATCTCATGATCTGGCCCCAGCCTATGGGATGTAATTAGCATTTCTTCTCAAATGGTTGTGGCATTCTATCTATTATGTTATGATTGTTTTACTTTTCATTAGTTAAATTTTAAGTTTCCTGGGGATAAGGTTCCATGTGTTCTTCCTATTTTATCCTTTGTAACACTTCATAGATAGTCTGTACAAGTTTTTGCAAGGAGGATAACTGAAATGGGAGTACTAAAAAGGATATCTGAAGAATGAGAATTATGTGGGATGTGAAATTGGCTTGGTTGGGGGGAGTGGTTAGCATGAGTGGTATGTAAACTTTTTTTCTCTCTTAAAGAGATAGATGCTCCATATTTTGGATTTTGTGAACTGTGCTATGTTGTCTGTGGCGCAGCTATGCAACTCGGCCATTGTAACACAAAAGAAGCCATAGGCAATATATGTAAACAAATAAATGGTGTGGCTGTGTTCCAGTAAAACTTTATTTATAAAAACAATCATTGCTGATACCTATCCTAGACAATCTCCTCTTTATCTGTTCTTTGCATGACTGAATTCTTTCTTAGCCACATAAATTCTGTAACAGCTCTATGACTTGTTATCAAAACTCCCTTCCAATAAAGAAAGGACGTGGTATATATAATATTTTTGCTACCATTGACTTCTTTCTGGAAAGAGTAGAAATATTTTGAAAACTTGGAGTATATGGATAGCAAGTTAGGCAGGGTCAGTAATGGTACAGCAGTGAATTAACTTTGTAATATAATAGAAGACACTAAAACATTTTTCCTCTGTGTTTCAGATTCCAGAGTCATTGGCTTCCACCTTCTCTTGCTATTTGGGTTTAGCTTATACACTTATTACTTGTATAGCATTTTGTGGTTTAAAAGCTTTTTTTTTTTTTATATACAACTTATTTGCTATTTTCAGTAACCTTGTAAGGTGTTGCTTCAGTTTTCCAGATCAAGAAACAGGCTTTAGAGAGATAATGGCTTTATCTCAGGCTAAATGGCTAATAAGTTTAGATGGCTTAGAATTCAAACTCAAGTCATCTGATGCTTGTCCTTTGTTTTTTTCTATTCTGTGTTCCTTCCCAGCCAGGTTATTAAGAGAAGTTGGGTTTCTACACAGTTCCAAACTGTAGCTGCAGACGAAGCCTCAAGGAATACTTAGGAGCATTTCTTTGATTAGATACTCTCTCAGGTTTACCGTTTTGAATTGTATAGGCTTGTATTTGAATAAAGAAGCCTATGGTTATATTTTGATTCTGAATAGGTCTCTTCTATACTCATTGAATATTAGCTGATGAACATGGTGATCATTTCTTTGTCAACAGTATTACTATGTACAGTTTTGAATTGTCTCCTCTGTTCTCCAATCAAATATATCCAAACCACCTGTCTGACATCCTTCATTCCACCATTCAGCATTTCTACTAGGAAGTTCCTATTCCCTGTTAACACTCTGTCTTTCATATCTATAGATATGACCACTGCCCTTACACTTCCCCACTCCATCCCATTCAAAGCAACTATAGGTAGCAATGAGGGGGAAGGAAGGAAAGATAACATTTTCCTGTCTGCTTCTAAATACTGTTTGTCCCTTTGTCTCTCAGTTTTACATACACACATAGCTCCTGACCATGTCACTAGGGTATGGATAAGAATTGGTCATTAAATTTTCCTTAGGAGATGGTAAAAGAGACTATGTATTTTACTATACCGAGCTGGGTGTATGCACGTATTTGCCTTTGGATAAATTAGACTTCTGTGAGTTGACCTGAGGACCTAGTTACTATCTTATATTGTTCTTATTTGGGTAATTTTGCTTTGTCCAAACAACTGCCACATTCAGAATGTAATCTCTTGTAAACTGGAGCATTCGCAGGGCCACCACCCTAGAGGGCACTATTCTATGTGAATAGTGCCTCCTAAAGTATTGTGATTCCTGCTGTATCATTGTGCAGGACAGTTAGTAACAGTGAGGACTAGCAGCCAGCCTAATACTGTGTGGATCAAACATGTGCATCAGACCTGATCTCTGTGTCACCTTTTTGCATCCTCTTCATTTTCAAGTAGAACCATTTGTGTAGTTTGTGAAGATAGGAGCCAGCTGCAGCTTGTAATCCTAGAGTTCTGTCTCCCATCATGATGATGACTCATTCACTTGCATTAAGCATGGCTAAAGATGATGGAATTTGAGGAACCGTAAGCCAGGCAGAGAGGTGGAGGCTTTAGGTTGTGATAACCCTTTAGTACTCCAGAAGGAGGGGCTTGTTTCTTTATCACCTTACATACAAGTAAGGTTAATCTTTAGCTTGAAATGTAGAGGGTACACAACCTTGGGGAAAGGAATATTTGTTAGGTTTGTGCTTAATAAGAGCACCACCTGCTGGCTATGCAGATCTGTGCTGTTTTGAGAGAGCTTGCCAAGACCACAGCTTGCCAGCAGGAGGAGGAAGTGAGCACTACAGACACCTCAAGAAAGTGTGTTTGGGAAAATGGTGGAAAGTATGAGTAAGACAGTCAAATGACTCATGGAATGACAGACCCTGGTGAGCCTAAAGTCAAAGTCTTTCCATTTTGTTTGCAGAAATGGTAATGTAAGCTAATATTTGTAATTGCTTCTGTTTTCCTGTTACTGACCTGATCAAGGATCTGCTATCTCTCTTCGCTGATAATAGCACTTGAATGCCATTGCCTGTGAATGTATGGAATGTATGAAATCCTCTAGCTGAATGGGTTCCTATCATCTTTTTCATTTCATATGCCTTTCTTTGCTTACTTTCAGGTTCACTGTATCCATTCTAGTTTGAAGTTTTAGCTTACATAGATCTTAGGTGTTATTTCTTCCTCAGGTACAAAGTGACCTTACATTAGCAATTCCTAAGGGATGATCTTTGTTCACTGACAAGGGGATTTAACTGAGTTCCTCTTCACTCTTATATGAAAGCAATTAAAACACAGCAAACTTCTAGCAAAGTGTAGGGGGCTGCCTAGGCCCCTTAAACAGTTTGTTATTATCCCTAACCGCTTATTCAGTGGGTTTGTAAGAAGAGTTCTTGATTCTCCTTAATACCTCGTCTCCAAGTGTGTCCTCTGTTTGCTTACTTGATTGTTTGATAATGGCTGTCTGGATTTCATTAATTTTTTGAGGACAGTCTGGGCTCCTACAGTCTAACAAGACATGGTTGCTTAACCTGTACTCCAGTAGACAGAGGAGGGGAGAGCTGGAGCACGTGCGCTGGGGTGTCACCAGACCTGATCTAGCCCTGCTGCCCTGTCTACAGATGAAGACACTGAAGCCCACTTAAGTGACTTGTTCTTGTTTCTCCGCCTGCTCAGTAATGGAACTGGGACCCGAATCTGGCTCTATTTCCTTCCAGTCCGTTGCTGTTTCCACTGTCTCCTTACTTCCCTGGGTTAATTTTCACTTTTGGGAGGGTAATGTCTGGGAAAAATGACATCGCTATGTTTTTGTAGTCTCATTCCATAGCCTTTGCCAAGTGGGAGTGACTCTTCTGGTGACAAAGGGGTATCCTGTGATGCTGAGGAAGTATTCTCCCCTTTCTGAAGCCTTCTATATACATTCCAGCTCAGCCCAGCTTCCAGAATGCCTCTAGACAATGCTTTATTTCCTGCACATCATTTTCCCCAACCAACCCCTCTGAAGTAGAGCAAAGAATTTTATCATTACTATCTCGAAACTCACTTCTCAACTGTTGATGAATAGGGAATCCTTCTTTTAAGGTTGACTTTGGGGAAATGGGGAGGAATCAGACCGTTTTATTGAGGCACTTCCAGGGAGGAGGGGTTAAAGGCTGGGAGGCCAAGATATCCAAAGTCTTGGGCCTGGCCAGGATCTCCCCAACTTCAAGATCGCTGAATGCTGACATTTATTTTAAGAATTGGGATAGGTAAATTGTTTTTAAGTGTAAGAAAGAATGTTTATAGAAAAAAAAGTAGATGACATTACTGTCCTCACAGACTCTATCTCCGTATGTAGACATGTAGAAAATATTTACTGCCATTAAAACTTTTAAGTTTCCCTATTTGTTTCACTGCCTTAAGGATTGGTGATCTATATTCAGAACTAGAAAATAATGTCCTGAGGCTGCTTGCTCTTTAGGGAAATTTCATACCTAAGAATGGAACCATTCTATTAACTAAGGGATATGTTCATTGTAGTCCTGAAACATCTAGTGTTCAAATTTGGTCTTTGAAATGTCATGAAATCCATGGTCTATACTACAGGAAAGAGTGGTTAAATTCTTTTAAACTGCAGAACTCTCTTGAAAAATACTCTGTACTCTCCACTTCCTTGGGAATAATTTGAGAAGCATCAGATTTCACCTGAGAATTAAACCTCTCCATTCTCTGACCCAAAGAATAATCTCGTGGTATAATGGCTAAGAGTGTGGGCTTGAGGATTATGCAACCTGAGTTTGAATGTTGATTGTTGCTAAATTATGTGACCTTGGACAGTTAATTTCACCTCTCTGAACCTATTTTTTCTTTCTTTTAAAAGGAGCATAGTGATGCTTACATCATGGAATTGTTACAAAGATTGAATGATACACACAGATGACATACACACACAGTCCCAGCCACATAAATGATCATTTATTGCTTTTTTCTCACCGCTCCCCCTGCCCCCTATCCTAGTTCAGATTGAGCACATCCTCTAACCCACCCTGGGAGCCAAAACCTCTCACATATTTAGAAAATACAATAAGTAGAGTCTATTTGTAGTAGTTCTGAAAAAAAGTAGGCATGCCGTCAATGACTAGAGTTCAGAGTGATTTTTGAAAGATGAAAAACAAGATAACTGGAGAAATAAAATTGGAAAAAAGTAGCCCAAAGTACATGTTAGGAATAAGCTCCTGTGAGGGAGGAGCTATTACAGGAAAGTTCTTTGCCAACAAAGGAGAAGGACACAGAAGTAAGGATGGGACCTGGGCATTTATCTGGGTGATGAATTTGGGCTCGTTTTGGGGATAGCCAGGCTGGATTTTCCCCTCCTGTACTCCTGCTCCTCCAGTGCCTGTTTCCATCAGGCAATGGTGTTTCATTCTATGCTGCAGTGGTGGTGTAGACTTGGGGCTAGAGCTTTTGGGTATGTCCCAGATAGTTAATGGCTCCCAGGAGGAACTGGGAGCTAAAGAGAAATGTGCTGGGCTTCAGATTAAAAAGAACCTTGAAGTTTTTCAGAACCCTGAAAAAACCCACACCTGTGTCTGTCATGGTGAAATTTCAGAACATTCAGATTACAAAAAGGAAAATCTGAGTTTCAGGTTGCCAATAGAGGAATATAACCAGAATAATACGGCAAGAAATAGAAATGAAAGGCATACAGATCGAAAAGAACGGTCTATTTCTATATGTTGTAGAAAATCCTAAGGAATCCACAACAGCAACAATAAAAAATAATTGTTAGTAATGAGTTCCTCAAGATCACAGGGTATAATAAGGTCAGTATATAAAAATTTACTGTATTTTTTATACTACCAATGAATATAAGCTCAAGTTTTTAATGGTGCTATCAAAAATATGAAATACTTAAGAATAAATTAAACAATCTGAATACGATCTGTGCATTGAAAACTGACAGACACTGCTGGGAGAAAATTATGGAAAACCTTAAAGTATGGATAAACACACCATGTTGATGGATTGAAAGACTCAGTATTGATGGCAGGACAGATAGCAGTTCTCAAACTGACCTAATTGAGTCAGTTTAATAATAACAAGCTTTTATTTGTTTGCTTGTGTTTTCAAACGCTTAAAAGGAAAACAGACCATGTACAAGTGAGTAAGAAGCCGTTTTGTCTTATTTGCAACACTGGATGTTAGAATACAATGGAATAAAGCTTTAAAAGGGTCAGATGATCAAGTCTAAATAGATTAATTTGTGTCCTGACCAGTGTTGATCAGGTAGTTGGACTGTCGTCCTGTAAACCAAAAGGTTGTTAATTCAATTCCCATTGAGGTCACGTGCCTAGGTTGTGGGTTTGGTCCCCGGTTGGGGAATGTACGAAAGGCAACTGATCAATGTTTCTCTTCCCACCTCTCTTTCTCTATTTCCCTTTCCCTCTCTCTAATCAATAAGCATGTCCTCAGGTCAGGATTTTTTTTTTTTTTTTTTTTTTTTTAAGATTACTTTGTGATGTTGAATATTTAAAAACCAGCTAAAAAGCCTATCAGGGTGCCCAACCTTTTGGCATATCTGTGTCATACGTGACACAGATATGTGTCATGTATGTGTCATGAAATACACAAAAACTGATGGGCACAAAAAGGATTTTCAGTAAATTTATGATTCTCTGTTGGGCCACATGTGGCCTGCGGGCTGCATGTTGGACACCCCTGCTAATAATCTCAAGGGGGTTGGAGCTGTGGAGGAAGGTGGGGGAAGAATGGTATACTTCTTAACTTTGGGGAGAAGATGTAGTACACAGTACAGTGCCTAATAGATAAAGTGGACCGAATAATGGTTGAATGACTATATACTGATTAAATCTAATGACGGAAGTAAGTTTAAATGTTTTAGTCTCTAGAAGAATAGAAACAGGATGTTTTATCAAACTTTCAAACCAGTCAAGTTAAATTTAGCAGAGTACACAAAGAAAATTATCAATCTAACAAGATATTTTAGATGTGTTGTATTTTATTTTTGAACTTGAAAAATAAGATGCAAAGTAACTTGCAGGTAGAATGACCAGTAAAACTCAAATAAACAGATACCCCATATGATAGTGCTTGCCTGCCAGGTCACTTTGCCACTGGGCAAATGAAAGAAGGATGATAGGTCTTACCCATTGGAGGGCCAGATGGTGAAATCACCTCACTTCATGAGATGGGAGCCCAGAGGCTAGGTTTGTGGACTAACCTTTAGTGTTTTGTGTTTCTTGCAGATGTTCCCACAAGCCTGCACTTCCAGAGCATGCTGAAATCTCAGTGGCAGAATAAACCTTTTGACAAAATCAAACCTCCCAAAAAATTTTCACTTAAGCACAGAACACCCATTCCCAGTAGTCTGCCAGATCCAACTCGTAAAGACAGGCACAAGTTGGTCAACTCCTTCCTAACAACAGCCAGTAAGTGTCAGAGGATCAGGGAGCCCTTCTGTTACTTTCCTGTTCCTTTTATGGGTGCAGGTTCCTGGTTTGCTGTGGCAGTATGTTGGGTTGGAAATCGGTAACAAAGTCAGCTTATCCTGATTCTCTCAGATAGACTTGGAAAGCTGTTCCAGACATCATGAATCTTGGGGCAGGACCCATAGTGCTCAGTGAACAGCCAGCAGTAGCATGGCATTGGGTTCATCTGTGGGCAGGCTATCTTCTGTAGCCTGGTGTCTCTTTTCTCTGATGGAGGACCCTGTGGGCTCCCTGATCATTGTGCTGTTTGCTAGAAACTTCAGTCCCAGAGGACTGGCCTGCTGTCCTAGGTGTCTGTCATTGGCCTAGTGAAAACTAGACCTCAGAACTTAAATAAGAAAAGATTGAGAGAAGATATTTCACAGCTCTTTTTCTGTTCCCCTCTTCAGAGCTGTCCCATCACCAAACCCGGCCTGACAGGACCCACAGGCAACACTTAGACGATGTGGGGGCCGTGCCTATGGTGGAGCGAGTGACAGCGCCAAAAGCAGAGCGCTTGCCCAACCCACCGCCACCTGTGCATGACCCAAACCACAGCAAAATGAGATTGCGAGACCATTCATCTGAGAGAAGTGAAGGTAGGGCCAGGCCTGGCACCTCTACCTGCATTTGCACCTGCTCAGGGCTTTCTGGGGCAGCCTGTACTTCTCTTAATTGCCCCCAGCTTTGTCCTTCACTCTAGGAAGGCAGAATAGAGAGACTCCACTGCTCTTACATGTAGGCCACTTCTGCTGTAGCACCCTCTGCCCAGCCCCCTGCTTTGCCTTTTTATCCTCCAGGCTTAGCATTTTTGCTTTTATTGTGTATTGCTCACATTCCTAGCTTGTGCTAGAAGTACAGCTGGTTGAGGTAGCCACATGGTCCCATTTTCTGTTGACCTCTGCAGTGTTGAAGCATCACACAGACTTGAGCAGTTCGAGCTACTTGGCAGCCTCCCACCATTCACCGCACAGTCCCTTGGTGCGACAGCTCTCCACCTCATCAGACACCTCTGCGCCCTCCAGCTCCAGCCCACAGGTTACAGCCAGCACATCTGTAAGTACCTGCATGGAGTTGGCCGGACGGCCCCTCTGCAGTTTCGGCTTATTTGAGTGTTTCTGGGGGACAGTGTAGAAAGCGGCCTGTGAAGCCCAGGGCAGCTGTGGGGACTCAACTTATCATGTTGTTGTGTGTTTTTTTGTTGTTGTTGTTTTTTTGTGGTGGTGGTTTTTTGTTTGTTTGTTTGTTTGTTTGTTTTTCCCCCAGTCAGAGTGGTGGTCTTTTACTTTCTGTTGTTTTTGTTGTTTTTCATCATAAAAATTAATGGATCTGTGTTAGTCCATCCATAGAAAGCTTGATGCAGAGACAGACCCTTAAATTAAAGTGGTCTATGACTATTCAAGGTCTGTGGGACTGTTTCACATAGACCCAACAATGTCATGTCTCTAACACTATTAGTCTAAGAAGTGGGCAGAGAGAAGGGACACAGGAGCGTTGCCTGTGTGGGCGTTGGAAACATTTGATTTCCCTGTTTTTACTGTACAGGTAAGTGGAGCTCCAGTACGGAGAGTCAACACTGGGTGTTAGGGTGCCTGGAACCAAAGGGAGAAGGCAGAGCCCATGCTTTTCAGGTGCACAGAGCAGAGTTACAGGTCCAGAAAGCCATTCTCAAAGCCATTCCAGACTCACATTCCTATTAATTTTATTCTAATATTTTAATTCCGCAAGATACGCCTCCTTGAACATACATACCTATAGCTGCTTTGTGCCACTAAAAGGTTCTTCATGTAATGATAATAGTAATAGTAGTAACAATAATAAAAAATAGCCCTGGCTGGTGTAGCTCAGTGGATTGAGCGCGGGCTGCGAACCAAAGTGTCACAGGTTCGATTCCCAGTCAGGGTACATGCCTGGGTTGCAGGCCATGACCCCCAGCAACCGCACATTGATGTTTCTCTCCCTCTCTCTCTCTCTCTCTCTCTCTCTCCCTCCCTTCCCTCTCTAAAAATAAATAAAATCTTAAAAAAAAAAAAACAATAATAAAAAATACTGTCACTGTAATGTTTGTCAATGCTAAGTGCTCTACATGTGATCTCTCAGTCTTATAATACCTTTTGAGATGTAGTTGGTGTAAATTCGCCCATTTTATAAACAGGGAAACTAAGGCTTTCCAAGGTTAAGGAAATTGCATAAAGCAAGGTGACTTGTGCAGGTTATAATTGTGATTCCGACCAAGCCATGTGGCTGCAGAGCCAGCTCTCTCACACTGCACTACTCAGTGCTGGCCACAAGGCACCCCATTGCAGAGGCACCTCACGCAGGTGCTTTGAAGCCCTTCGGAGCTGACAGATCTGAGCCCACAAAATGTACTCAGTGTGTTCCTGTGAATAGGTAGGAATTCACATTGTTCTCTCTTTGCACTTAAAAATCATACTGTCTTTTCCAAACAACTTCCTTGTTCCTCCCTCTTCTTTGCCTCTTACATCCACAAATTTTGCCTAAATAGATCTGTAGTATCTATCTTAAACTCAATTACCTATCAGCAAAAGGTCTCAGATAACCAAAGGAGCAAAGGACTTCAACTCTGAGATTGAGGCCCTGGTGAGTCCTCGGTATTTTCTTACCTGCCAATCCTCCTGTGCCTGGAGAATATTGACTTAGGCGTGGATTATTTGAAATGTTTACTTGTTACTTATTGAGTATATTTTTTTTTTTTTTAAGAATCTGGATTTAGTCCTGGCTGGCGTAGCTCAGTGGATTGAGCAAGGGCTGCAAACCAGTTCAATTCCCAGTCAGGGCACATGCCTGGGTTGCAGACCACAGCCCCCAGCAACTGCACATTGATGTTTCTCTCTCTCTCTCTCTCTCTCTCTCGCTCCCTCTCCCTCTCTCTCCCTCTCTCTCCCTCTCTCTCCCTCTCTCTCCCTCTCTCTCTCCCTCTCTCCCTCTCTCCCACTCTCCCCCTCTCTCCCTCCCTTCCCTCTCTAAAAATAAATAAATAAAATCTTTAAAAAAGAATCTGGATTTATTTAATAGAGTTGAAAGGACAGATATTTAAATTAAGGTAGAGAAGCTAGAGGACACGAGGAGACAGGCGGACAGGGTGCAAGTGCTTCACCAAAAGATCATGGATGCATCAGAATCACTTCACTGGCTTTTACTAATCCCTGAAGATTCTGATTTGATAGTCAGGAGGAGGGATCTGAGAAAATTTTTTAAACCTCTTCTCATCTTTCTTCTGATGTGTAGCCATGTTTGGGAACCACTTTCCGTTCCCATCGACCGCTCTCTGCCTCCAGTTCTAAACAGGAGAGAGTAGTTACGTCAGACTAGATGAGTGCCCAGTGGAATGAAAGGTGGGCACTCGAGCCTATTGAACAGTCCCACGACCTACTAATGCCTCTTTCCCTCCAAGGTACTAATAAAAGCAGGCCCAAGAAGATTCAGGGAAAATCCACACCTGTTTCAGCCATTGGTTTCACATTCATCCTTGATTAAGATACAGGGAAAGCTATCCCTTGAGGCTTTCTTAAGGAACACTTCTGATAGTGGGACATACAATTTCAGCAGAGATTTGACAGTGGCAGAGGCCTTTGCACATGAGGTCACTAAGCCTTAGCTGCAAAACTCAGCCACGCCAGATTTGCAAAAGTCTGTTCAACCATTTTGGTTAACCAGTTACCCTAAATTTGTGAGGTCAGGGACAGTCTATTGCAGTGATTTTCACCTGGTATACTGCATGGATTTTTAAAACATGTAATACTTGACTATTTAGTCAGGAACACTGACCTTTTTTTCCCTTAGACTGTCAAATTAAAAAAAAAAATGACAACAGTCAATACAACAATTGCCATCTGGTGTGGATGAACCAAAATTATACATATTTTTTGGGGCCAGATCAACAAAAATGTTTTTTGTGGTGTGTGTGTGTGTTGTGCCACACAGTTTTAGTAATTAGTTTATCTGTGCCATGAGATGAACAAGGTTGAACATCACTGATCTATTCTTATTTAATAGAGAAGGAAGTCCAGGTGAGAAAGGCATCGCGATAACCTGAAGTCCTAGTTGTAAAACAGCTACACTCCTGGCCCAGGAAGCCCTGCCTCGCCATGTTCTCTGAGACTGTCCTGAAATGATGGGCTGAGTCAAGTGTAGAGCGGTTAGTTGTAGGGAACCACCTCTTCCTCGTCTTCCTTCACTGACCCCTTCTGGGGTGACCACAGGTGGTTTGGGTTTGAGTGCAGCCTCTTAGGTGTTTCCAAGCGTGTTGTTGCCATGGCAGCATGTTTGTCATCCACTGTTTCTTTCTGGCCTCTCACAGCTCAGTTGCCAGTCCCTGTCAGGGTAGGGTGTTTGCTCTCTGGGCACAAACAGCTGGTGGACTTCTTCCTCCATCTTAGAAACCAAGCCCTGTGGCTCTCCCTGCTCTGTTCCCTCTTGGGTCTCCCAACTGCTGCAGTTGCCCACCTCCTCCTCCTCTGATAATTGGATCATTAGTCGTCTTTCCCAGAGTTGGATCTTCTCAGCTTTGTATGAAAGTGAATCTCCTTTCTCCAGGAGTGCGAGCAGTAGAGCCTGGCCCTCTTCTCCTGTTTGGCTCTACTCATCTCCATTAACACAGCTAGAAGCTTTCAGCTCTTTCCCCAAGACCAGTAGCCAGAAAGAGAGGAAATCACATAGGGGCTGAACAGGTAGATGATGGGTACAGATTTAGCTGAAGAGTTCAGATCTACAAGAAGGAGGCGTTTTCATGACATCCAAGGTTAGATGATCTGTTGAGCTGGACCTATTCTTGGGGCTGTCTTTCAGGATGAGGGAAATCATCTTTATAACCCGAAGAGTCATCACTAGGTTTAAGTATTGTTTTTAGGAGCTACTATGGGTCTTAGTCACAGACGGGGATAAAAAGGGGAAACTAAAGGGATTTAGTAGTAAAGGTAAGGTGGTGTGTATGGAGGAGTACTAGGAACTGCAGTAATTGACTCGAGGGCCCAGGATACCTACCCCTATAAAATTCCTAGGAGTCTGTTTTGTGCCTTTTAAACTTGCCTTTGTCTTACAGCAGCCAGTAAGGAGGAGAAGGGGAGAGAGCTCATTTGATATTAACAACATTGTCATCCCGATGTCTGTTGCTGCAACAACTCGTGTGGAGAAACTGCAATACAAGGAAATCCTTACTCCCAGGTAGAGGCCCTGAATAACAGACTTCTCTCCCCGTTGTTCCTGTTACTGCCCTTTTTCCTTTGTCACTGAGCTTTGGGCCCTAGCCTTGGATTTTGTCTTCTCTTTAAGAGGTAGTTATGTGTAATAAAAGTGAAAATTATTTCTCATTAGTTCTCTCTCGTTCCATTATATAAGTCTAACCAGACCATAGGCCATAAATTGGTGATAGACATGCTTTGTTCAACACATACAGTGTGTTTTAAAATATTGAATATGTTGTCACATCAAAGCAGGATTTCACTTGTGAATCTTTTTTTCTAGCTTTTGTTGACAAATCAGAACATCGGGGGACCTTGTATGTACATTCCCATATGGTAGCAATGAGCTGGTGCTGAACAGTGGTGGTCCCCTTTAAGCAGGTTCCTTTGTTTGAGTTTCTCAGTGTCTGAGACTGCATCCTGGTTTCTGGTCCTTCTGGGTGTTTGAGTGTGAGGCCTCTTAAAGAGGGCTAAGGAGGCCACGCTTTGAGAGGGGAGAGCCTGCCCAACAGAAAGCAGTGTCAACTCATAGCCACAGGGCTGTCATTCTTGCATGGACACATTTATCCTCCCCAGGTAACCTGCCATCTCGTGATTGTCCCTTCTTGGTTTTGCAGCTGGCGGGAGGTCGATGTTCGGTCTCTGAAGGGGAATCCTGACGAGGAGAATGAGGAGGTAACAGCATGGTCATTCTTTCTGCATCTCTTAGACAAATGTGGGTGCACACCTCCAGATGCCTCAAGACCTGTGGGTGTCGAATGCAAGCTCATATTCCTCTTTTGACCAGAAGGAGCCTAGTATGGGGTGGGGCTGGCTCTGGAATTGATCTACCCGCACTTAAAGCTCAGCTTCCTGGAGGAAAGAGGGAATCAACGAAGCTGCTTTGTTGCAGGTTGAGGACCTATCTGATGCAGCCTTCGCCGCCCTGCATGCCAAATGTGAGGAAATGGAGAGGGCTCGGTGGCTGTGGACCACGAGTGTGCCACCCCAGCGACGGGGCAGCAGGTGATGGGTCAAGGAGTTTGGGCCCTAACCATGCGGGTGGAATTACCAATGCCTCTCAGTTGCTTTTCATATTTGTCCACTGGCAGTGGCTGAGAATACACAGGTTCCCTTGGTTTATTGGGCCCAGTGAGGGTATAAACAGTCAAATGCTGGGTCCTTGCTGAGTAGATAGTGATCTCTTAGAAGAGTAGGCTGGCTGTGACATTTGGAGGCCTCATCACCAGCTGTCCTTCCTTTGGACAGTTTAGTATGGTTTTGTGGTCCTGCTTGAGAGAACTGCCCCACCCTGTCTTCAGTTGTGGTTGACAGTGGCAGAAGCCCTCAGGATTCTCAAATAGAAGGATTTAGACTTTTGATTTTGCTTTTTTTCTTTGACTATAATTTTCAAAGTCTGGACTATTTCCCTCTCCCTGTAAATTCTAGACATTGAGCAGGGATCAGCCCTGGCATTGTTCAGCCCTGGCTTTCTCTTGGGACGATAGATGTACACAGTTCTTAGAGGTCATGTCATGTAGCTACGCATCTGCTGTTCCTAGGGAAGAACTGTTGGTGGCTGTCTATCTTGACTTCTCTGGTTGGGATGCTTTTTTCCATGCCTCCTCTCCAACACCCCCGACCCCTCCAAATAAACACCCTAGAGATTCCCCTATTACTTGGCACTCAGATTTGCATTCCTTCCTATACAGGTCTTACAGGTCGTCAGATGGCCGGACAACCCCCCAGCTGGGCAGTGCCAACCCCTCCACCCCCCAGCCCGCCTCTCCTGATGTCAGTAGTAGCCACTCTTTGTCGGAGTTCTCCCACAGTCAGTCCCCTAGGAGTCCCATCAGCCCGGAACTGCACTCGGCCCCCCTCACCCCTGTGGCACGGGACTCTCTACGCCACCTCGCCAGTGAAGACACCCGTTGTTCCACGCCAGAACTGGGGCTGGACGAACAGGTGAGGGGTGCTGCCTTTGCATGGGGTTGGTGGGGTGGGGGGTGGAATTGGGAAGGGGCAGCACCTGCTGAAGATGAATCTTACTGTCATGATTCTCCCTCCACGTTTTGAAGGGGACAAAGGGCTGCACTTGAAATTGACCTCCTGAAGGCACCATCAACCTGTCCATTGTGAAAGGGTGCCCACTCAGTGAGGGATCTTCCCAGACTCCAGGAACTCTAGAGAGAGGCTGGTCAGGGACTCCAGTCCGCACATACGGGGCCAGGGTCTTGGGGCAGGGGGCAGGCTGGGACTGGGTCCTTAACTAAGGCAACTTGTCTGCCCACAGTCCGTCCAGCCGTGGGAGCGGCGAACCTTCCCCCTGGCGTACAGTCCCCAGGCAGACTGTGAGGACCAACTGGATGCTCAGGAGCGGGCAGCCCGCTGCACTCGGCGCACCTCAGGCAGCAAGACTGGCCGGGAGACTGAGATGGCACCCAGTTCACCTTCCGCTGTCCCACCCAAGAGTCGGCACCTGACAGCAGCAGTCACAGCTCAGCGTCCCACGCACAGATGAGTGGGATACGAGAATCTAAACAGACTCACTAACTATATTGGCATTAAAGCTTCAACAATCTCTGCGTTTGATATTCAAACATCATATGCCGGAAATTTTCACAGTTTTTAGTGAATTTAACGATTTAGATTCTACTTTGGTAATTTTTTTCTTGTTTTGATTTTTGTTTTGGTTTTTTGTTTCCATGTTTCGTTGTCACACCTGAGCACTTCCTCCAGTTGGCAAACAGAAGTTCAGGATAAGAGCCTGCCAGCCTGGTCCTGGCACATCCTCTGCACTGTTGAATCACTGGACTTAGCGATGTTTGATGATCACCTCTCCCTCGCACCTGTGGGCAGGGTGGAACAGCCATGTGGGCAGAGGGGATGGAATGCTGCAGCTCAGTATTGCCACCTTAAGTCAGGGCGGGGAAGAGCAGCCCACTTTGGGCTGCTTCCCCCTCTCCTCGCATCTGTGCTGGAGCGTGCCCCTCACCCAGAGCATCTTGGCCATAGCTGCCAGCTAGAATGGCTTCCCCTTGTCATCAGATCCTGGAGACTAAGTGGGGTTTCCTCTGCATTTGGTCATCTCTGTTTTAACTCCTTAACTGCAGCTAACTTGGCTGCAGCTGCTCAGGTCCCCATCCTGCCCCTCTGTGCCCTCTCGTCTACTCCCCCATGCCATCCATATACATACCCGCACACACCAGTCGTTCCACTCGGGCCTTTTCCCCTGTCCTTGTCCATGAAGGTAGAGCTAGACTGCTTAACCTCTGTTCCCACTCCTCTGCAAACTAGGGGTCTGGGAAGGGAGCAGCCATTTTCTCTGTGTAATTTTGTTTTCCCTGCCTGATTTATTTAGTCATGTTTCCTTCCCATCCAGGTCGCTGTCCATGTCAGTTAGGCCCTTCCTCTTTTAAGCTTCCCTTTCCTGTGGAACATTGTCTGGTCCCAGCCGTGGTTCCCATCACTCCCCCGTGGTCACCCCCTTGGTTGTTAACCTTGTGCCTGTCTTATGTATGATCATATTACCAAAAAGGGGGCAATAAGATTATTTTAAATTTTTTTTTTGCCATTTTGTAATCATATAAAAATAGGCAAACTGCTTAATGGTTGGGGTTTTTTCACAATTTTCAACATTAGTGATTTTTTTGATTCTGTTTGCAAGTTAAATGGTTTGTCATTGTTTCTTTAAAAAAAAAAAACAATAATGCACCATATCCCTATGCATAAAGTGCTTCTTCTATTTATAAGGTTGAAAATTCTGAATAACCCTTTTAGCATTGTAAAAAAACAAAAAAAACAAAAAAAACAAAAATGGGAAAAAAAACCTTGTATTTTGTAAATATTTTCTTTTTCTGCTTTGAGCTGTGTATTGGCAGCAAAACATGTAGCTGTCTTTGTTCTATAGAAATGCTTTTCTTCAGAGAAGCTGATCTTTGTTAATGTCTTGATTATGTTCACAAAGCACAGACTAGTGCTTTAAAAAAAAAGGAAGGAAAAAATGAAAAAAATAATAAAAAAACGTTACAGACTATTGTGTACTGGGCCTTTCTTAATGATTGGACAGTGGTAATGGTGGCAGCTTAGGAGCTGGCCCTGTGGAAACAGTTCTCTGGTGTCCTCGGACTTGCTGTGAACCTTGGGGCGTCTCCGCTCTGTGGGCACAGGGGCAGGGCCATCTGATGGTCCCCAGAGAGTGGCTGTGGTTGTTTTCATGGGTTGGTGGGGTGGGGAGGGTAAGAGTGCCAAGAGGACAGGGGTTCTACATAGATCATCTGCTTTTTAAGATTTAAAAAATTTATTTTTAGAGAGGGAAAGGGAGGGAGAAAGGGAAAGAAACATCCTTGTGCGGTTGCCTCTCGAGTGCTCCCCCTCACTGGGGACCTGGCCTGCAACCAAAGTACGTGTCCTGACTGGGTATTGAACCGGCGACCCTTTGGTTCACAGGCTGGCACTCAAACCACTGAGCAATACCAGCCAGGGCAAATGAATCATCTGTTTTTTACTGGATGTAATTGACTGTTTCTTCTCAATGTTCCTGTCTCTAGTGAAGCCAGCAGTATGACATTTTATATCTATTCCAAATTGCTCTTTAATGGAGATTTCACTTTTATCGTTGACCTTTTGGGGGCTTGGGGCCAATGAGGTATATTATGTATGGACCTTGAGCTGCTTCTCACCTGCTACCGGAGATTATAGTATCTATCTTATTAGGAGGACAAGTGCTTGATTTTCTTTGTACAAGATGAATAAGTGGGTGGGCCTGGTTCTTTCTCTTTTTCCTTTTCACAGCAGTCAAGTTGAAACAGCCAGTGAGGCTGCCCATCCTGGACACACAAGCAGGAGTTCCCAGATAGCGTTTCTTTCTGTCTGCACAGGCTAAGGGGAAAAGCTGAGAAAAGTGTTTTACAACTGAAAATCTAAAGGCTCACTGTTAAGACCTTGAACTGATTACTAAGGAACAATATAGTGGGTTGTTTTGTTATGTTTCCCTTTGTGACATTGCTGGGGGTTGATTTAGCAGACCCATTCCCCAAGACTGCTGCACAGGGAGGAGGAAGGCAGCTGTGTGGGCCTGGGAGGGAGCTACGCCATTTCCTTCAGCTGATTGGCCTACTGTTCTGCTTCAGCCCCAGGCCTCTAGGCTAATTTCCAGGGATGAAAAGATATCATGCACCCAGCCTTATCACATCTTAAAAACTCTGAGGGCAGCCATGTGAGCTCAGCCTAAGGGGATTGACCCCATGGCTGAAGAAACTAAGAATCTTTCACCTTTGGGGCCCCAGAAAGAACTGGTAAAACATCACATCTCAGTTTTAATACTCCCCATTTTAAAAAAATATTTATTGAATTCAGAGAGTAAAACATAGGTTTGTTATTCCACCCATTCATTGGTTGGTTCTTATACTTGTCCTGACCAGGGAATTGAACCCACATCCTTGGCATATCAGAATGATGCTCTAACCAACTAAGCTACGTGGTCAGGGTTGCTAGTCCCTGAGCTAAGTTCTCCAAATGAGGCTGGGAAAGGACTTAAAATCCTCTGTCTCATGTCATTTTCTTATCCTTTGAATTCATGCATGGAGACCTTATTTAATCAGTAATAACTTTTATTTCCAAATTCACTTTTACAGCAACAGTCAGTGTAAATCATTTGTTAAAACATACAATACACCAAATGGACGTTCACAGACAGGAAGCTAAGCTAAGATGGTTTCATGTCATCCCACCCACCCACCCTCAAATTACTGAAGATATCATGGGACTTGTGAGTGCCAGAGATTGTCCCGCCCGACACTGCAGATTCATGGACTGAGTCCATTAGGAGGTGAGACTGGGTCAGTGCCCAGGATGAAACCCTTTCCAAAACTGAAGAGCAACCAGAAGTTCTCAAGCCAAGGATCCATAGATGGGGACATGCTTGATCTCCACCTCTACCCTCATCCCCACCTCTTGGCTTTACTTGGGGGACAAAGATAAAAGAGGGTAGAGAAAGACCTCAGTGACTGCTAGACACAAGCCGTGTGTCTGGAGCCAGTGGGAAAAGTGACACGGAGGTGCCCAGAGGAAAGATGCCAGGGTCTAGGGGAGGCATTGTGGGCTTGGGGTCTGTCTGGCAAGAGACCAGAGCAACCGTGTCCCCAGACTCCTCCATAGGCCTCCCCAGCAACACGTGGCCGAGAGGCACAGGGGAGTGGCCGGCAGCCTGCTGCACTTGGGAGTCCTGTCAGCAAAGAGGTGAAGCCCGAGGACCTCCAGCAAATGCGGTGGAAATCATGAAGGAAAAGGGTTACAAGGCGGTTTAACTGCTGCACTCCAAGACTTCCCTTTGCCCATGGTACCTGTCTTACAGGTTCCTCCCCCCCAACCCCTATAGCACAACAAGCAATCGCAAACAGGATACAGTCTCACCATTGAAGTCAATTAAAATGGAGCTATTGATAAGAGTGGAGAGCTTGAAGGAACCAGGTATATAGCATGTCTAGCCCACCCAAGGGACATTGAAGGTGGGGGTTCGGGGGTGGGGGAGAGCCCAGCCCTGGGGGATTGTCCTCATTTAAGGTCACAAGCTAGCATCCCTTTTTCTTTCCAGGCCAGTGTTCATGTGATCACCCTAATCCGTGGTTTTGAGGCTGACCCCAGTGACCCACCCTCCAAAGGAGACGTCAGAACCCTGGGAGTAAGGTATTGGAGAACAGGGCACAGGTCCTGCAGGAAGAAATGCAGCCAACACTAGCCGCAGTGATGCACCACATCTAATAGCTAGCCCATCCTTAAACCACAGTGCCTTTTTCTTTCTCAGAACCCGAAGAACTGCTGGAACGCAAAGGATGGTGGGGAGCCTCCCAGTGGAGGGTTCTGGGCTGAGGTGATTTCCTTGCATGAAAGCTCTGGCTGCAAGTGAAGGCTCCCGCCACGGCCCCCAGGGCTGCCGGCAACTACGTAGACCAGAAGTGGCAGGACTGGGCCTGAAGTCGCTGAATTTCTCTAAGCAGCAATTTTCCACAAAGGCTGCTCCCAGTGACAGCAGCTGGGACTTGTGCAAGGTCAGTGGGGGGCTCTGGCCAAGGCTTTGGGGGTGGTGTCTGACTTGTCACCCTTTCTCAGTCGGGCATCCTGGGTCCCCAGCCCCTGCTGTGGCTGCAGGGCCTCGGTCCTCGGTGGGGAGGCCTGAGCTACCCTTCCCGATGGTGGGGGTGCTCTCCCTGGCCGGCACTGGCTTCATCTTTCTTGTGATGCAGGGCGTTAGTTGTAAGCCCGTCTGTCAGGGCTGCTCTGCAGCTTCTTCTGACTGGGACCAGAGAGGGCCATTTCCACCCTGCCAGCCAAGCCAGCCACGGGACACACACACAGCTCTGCTCTGACAAAGGGAAGCCCTCGGGGTGTGGGGAGGGGCACCCAGCCTCCGTCCTGGTCCTGTGCTTCAGGCCTTCCTCCAGCGGGGGCCTTGGATGTCAGACTCTGATCTCGGTTGGGTCCCAGATGCCCAGATGCCAAAGAAAGCCTTCAGAAGTGGGAGGGCCCCCCCAGGGGAGAGCCGCGCTGGCCTCCTGGAGCCGAGGCCCAGCGTGGGGGTGGGAGACAGCGAGGGGCCCCCATGAGGGTGGGTTAGAAACCTCTTTACAAACATTTCAAATACATGCGTCCTTTTTTTTTTCCTTTTCACTATCATAGTCACTCTGGTGACTCCAAGCATAGACAGACAAGGCCGACGACAACGCGACAGGGTGCAGATAGGGAGGGGAAGGCGACATCTATGTATATGCTCAGCTGCTCCAGCAGGACAGACGGCACGGCTTCCCGCTGGGCCGGGGGAGAGCCATTTCCGGGCGGGCGGGCAGGCCCCTTGGGGGGTGTGGAGGGCTGACTGCATGCACTTGGGGCTGGGCAGCGGCTGCGCTCTCTGAGAGGCTGGCAGTCACGGGCTGGGGCTGAAGTGGGGGACAGAGGGGATGTGGTCCCTCCCTGGGGGCCCGCCTATCCTGGTGCCGGCTCTGGCGACCAGGGTATCCAACACAGGAAGGGGACCGGGTCCTCCGGGAGGAAAAGCCTCTGCACGTCGACCTCTAGGGTCACTGCCGAGTCCCACACCCACGATGGGAGGTCAGGTCATCGGGTTCATCGTGAGGGACATGCCAGTTGGATGAGTATAACTTAAACCTAGAAACTGAGGTCCCACTTTGTGCCCAGACTGTGCCTTCCGTTGATTTCATCCCTTAACGTAGGTGTCTCCCACATCCAAACGATGCAAACTACCGAGAAGGGGAGCAATGAGGCTGGGACCTCGGGACAGTGTGACATAATGAGGGTACAGGCAGTGACTGGGCTCTGCACAGCGGGCACAAGGGCGTGGCGAGGGCAGACAGGTGGCTGCAATGACATGGGAGGAACGGGAGGCTCGCAGCCCCCTCCCAGACCCCCGCACACTCCAGAGATGCCAGCCGCCCAGGCTTGGGGACAGGCGGGTGTCCCCCAAGAGGCACAAGTCCTTACAAGAGAACTGGTTAGCCCTAAAGTCCCAGATCAGTGAGGAGGCCAAAATCGTGGCTGCACTTCCAACTTTCAGAACACAGTAAAATAGGGTTTCCGTGGGTGGGGGAAGCCCCTCAGTCCAGCCCCCAACCCCAGTGGTGGGGGCAGGGGAGAAAGAGGCCACCGCTCAGGACACTGGGGTCAGTCTTGCCTAAGGAAGAAACCCACAGGCTGCCACCTTCACACCAACCAGCCTGCTCCTCTTGCCCACTGTCCCTTCACGGTGTGGGAGGGACTGCACCCCCTCACCCGCAGGCCGCCCTAGACGGTGGCACATGGCCCACAGCAGATCGGGGGCCACCAGCTACAGGAGGCCACTTGGTCCCAGGGGAGGCTGTTTGTCCTTCCTGCAGCCCTACCGAGCAGGGAGCAGGCCCCTCCCCCTTCACGAGCTCACCCCCCTTTCCCTGTCCACCCCGCCTCAGCCTGTCCTGCGTCTCTGTCCCCCCCACTGTCCAGCTCACATCAACACACCAAGTATCAAGTCCTTTGTTCTGCTGCAGCCTCTGTGACATCCCCAGAATGGGGCCAGAGGGGGGGGGGCGCCCGCAGTCCCTGAAATTCCCCAGAAGCACCTTTCAGAGCCTCTCCTCCCTCTTCTACTCAGAGGGGAAAAAAAGAATCAAAAGTAATTGCCCAAGGAAATGTTGGGTGTGGCCATCTTGAACGTGTTTTTAAAAATATTTTATTATTCCTAGCCCACCCTTCAATTTGGAAAGATGAAATTTGCTCTTATTCCCGTCACTGATTTTGAAGTCCCGAGCCCGAGCCGAGCGACAAAAGCAGGTTAAGTGTTTGGCCGACGGACTGGTCTGTGAGGAGCAGCTGGGGGAGGGCGGAGGGCGGAGGGCGAGGGGCCGGGTCACCATTCTTTTTTTTTCCCACACTCTCTCACTCCTCTCCACGATTCCTGACCGCCCCGGGGGCCTGATCACAAACCCTGCTTGGCCAGGGAGGCGGACACTTCGTCAGCTAGCGTGGCGAGCTGGGGCGAGTCCACCATGTCGATGCTGCCCGTTGAGGACACGTTGCTGAGGTGCCGCGGAGACGTGTCCCCGGACACCACGGGTGACTTGTACACAATCTCCGCCCCGTGGTCGGTCTTGGCTTTGGCGTTCTCACGGAAGGTCAGCTTGTGGGTCTCGATCTGCAAGGCAGGAGGGGAGGGAGGCCGAGATGAAGGGCCAGACAGAGGTGGACTTGCCCTGCCAGCCCGGCCCGGGAGGGACGGTGCTGATGAGGTGGCGGTGACCCTGGTTTGTATGGCTTTCCAACGGCAAACCCTTGTGCAGGGTCCTTCTGTCACCTGTCTCCAAGTGACCCTGTCCCCCTCTCCGAGGCAGCGCCCATTGTAAGTGTCTTGTCTGTGGACCCTCACCGAGCTACTCCACACACCCATATGTGTATGTGAGAGATACATGCATGTGTATTTTAATGCATGTACTAAAAATACCCACATGCTTTGTACTTAGGTTTGTAAACTTAACACCTTCTGTTATCAGTACCTGGTCCCCTTGGGCCTGTTGATGGCGGTATTTCGCCATAGCAGATGTACCAAAAGTTATCTACTCCCCGGGGGAGCGTATTTCAGCTGTCCCTGCCTTTTGCTGGGACCGACAGTGCTGTGCATGAATAACGTGGATGTCTGTGCACACACATCATTGCACACGCATGGAAGTGCATCCTAGAAGTGGAATCGCCAGGAGGTCATAAGGCACACTCATTTTGTTTTGATAGCCACCGCCCAATTGCAAATGGAAGTGTCGAAGTTCCCTGGAGAAGATTCAGGGATGTCCCCTGAGTCCCTGCCCCCAAATCAGCCGCACATAGCCCTCCCCCTTGCCAGGGACGGGGGAGTTTGGAGGGGCGGCAGCTGTGGGCGGCAGCACGGGCAGGGGTGCTGGAGAAGGCGGGGAAGCGATGGCGTGGCCTGGAGCCCCCGGGGGCCGAGCGCCAGAGGACACCTGGGGACTCCGAAAGCGTCAGCTGGGGATGCACAGAGTGATTCTCTCCTCATGAGCCCTGCTGTGGTGGACACAGTCAATCTCAACCTTCTGGGGGGTCCTAAGACCTCTCAATCTGGTGAAACCAGAACCATGCCCCCCACAGAGTTTTTCCACTCGGTTTTCGGAGTCCTTGGCCCATGAAGAGCCCCTGCTGCAGAGGCTCCGGTGGGGCTGCAGAGAAAATCCAGGTTCTCCTTGAAGCTGTAAATATGCTCATTTTATTCATGTGGGGTCATGCTTTGATAAAAGGACCCCTTCAGATCTCCGCATTTCAAAGGCCTCTTTGGCATAAGCTTTGCTAAGAACATTCATGTTGATGTTTTTTAAAAGCTTTGTTCTTACGAAAAAAAGTGATGGGTCCTGGGAATGTTCCCAGACCCCCCAAACTGGAAGGGCTCAGGTGGGGTGAGACGTGTCCTGTGCCCAACTGCTGAGGCAACGGTGGGGGGGGCCTGACCCCGAGGGGACTGACCCGGAGGGGACCTCCGCCACCCGGACAGTGCCGGCTGAGCGGCGGGCTGGGCGGGGCAGGGCCCGCCTCCAAGCTGCCACTGAGCAATGAGTTAAAACAGAAGTTCAGACTCAGACTTGACGCTGACTCATGTCCCTAGATGACGACGAAGTACCAGGAACCTTCCAGAACACCATCTCCTGCAGGCCTCACAGCCACCCAGGGATGTGGGTGTTTCTGCCCACTTTGCTGGAGGAGAACTAGACCGGGAGTGTTCGCCGACCTCGCCCAGGTCCCCTCTGCAACGGGGCCTGTCCCAGCCCGCTCAGGACACAGGAGCTTCTGGAGACGGGCGAGACCTGCCTTCACCAAGGCCCGGGGCCTGTCCTTCCTTCTGCCTCTAGGGGGCTCTGTTGAGGGGTTGGGCCTGGCCCCAGGTCTCACTCTGCCACCTTCCTGGCAGGTGCTTCTCTAAAACCACACTGTTAGGCTTTCACGCCCGTGCAAGGTGGGGAGTGTCCGTCCGCTCAGACCTCAGACTGAGGCCTGCTGGAGGATGGAGGTGGGGGGCGGGGGGGGGGCGGTGCGAGACTTGCCAAGGAGACTCCCGGCTGCCCCCAGGTGTGGTATGATGGCAAGACGGCCCTGTGGCTGCGCCAACCAGCTGGGCCACCTTGGGCAGCGCCCTTTCTTACACCGAGCTGGGTCTCAGATTCTTGCCCGTTCCGGGACATCTTTTGTCCCTCCGCCACTCCTCAGTCACCTCTGGGAGACACTGAAGACTGGGAGTGAGCCACTTCAGAGCTTGAGGGCGAGCAGGCGTGGCTGGGAAACCCCAAGGGCACTTGGGCTGCTTTCATGCAGATGAGGGAAATCCAGCCACCAGGCCGCATCCTACCAGGCGTCCTGGGGCCACAGAGGCCCCTGTGCCCCCACCCCCAAGCTCGCACAGGCAGACCCGCAGCCAGGCGCGGTCCAGCGGCCTCCCCACGGGCACGTCGATGACAGAGGCTTTGCTGACATCTGGATTTCAGCATCCCTGGTTTGCTCTGACTACCTCGTGACCCATTTGGAAGAGGAGGTCACATGCCCATGACTTGCTCTGGGTGTCTGGGGCTGGCTGTGGGACGGCTCCTTGTGTGGGTGCTGGCCAATCACAGGGCCTAGGACAGGGGCTCTCACCTTTGGCCGCACTAAAGAACACCTGGGGACTTTGCAAACTCCAGGTGTCCAGACCACGCCTGAGACCAGCCAGAATCTCCGGGGTGGATCCTGGGCATCACATCTGTCCGAGCTCCCAGGCGACTGCAGTGGGCAGCTAAGGCCGAGCCCATGGTCTTCCGCTTTTCTGCCCCGAGAGCTGCACCAGTCCCGTCCACCCGACTCAGTTGACAGCCACGCCCCAAAGCGACCGACCTCCTCCCTGCCTGCCCCCTTTACCTTCTTATTCCCTCCGCCAGGGACGTGGGTGATGTTATCCAGGGACCCAATCTTCGACTGGACTCGATCCTTGAAGTCCAGCTTCTCAGACTTGACTTCCACCTGGCCGCCCCCTGGAACACAGCACACGCAGGGCACTCGCCTTGAGTGAGGGCCTTGAGAGGGGCTCCAGAGAGACACCCACCTCCGGGGGCTGCAGAGGCTGTCCCGTGTTTAGAATGTGGTTTGGTCAGTCCGTCCTTCCAAAGGGCCTGAAAACGGTTTTCTTTGTCTCTCTAGTCAAGTTGCGCCTCAGATCTTTACTCAGAAAACTCCTCCTCCCGAGACAGCGCAAAGGGAAGTGACGGCTCAGTGTGGGAGAAATGACTGAATTCTAAATTTGTTGGTTTCCAGAGAGTGGAGTGTTTCTATGTCAACATCCTGTAAGCCGCGGCCCTGTAAGACCTTGGAATTAACTAAAGGGCAAAGCGCGATCTAAGTAAGGACGGGCCTGTGCCTTTCTGGCTCCTCCACGCTCGGGGCCAGTGCTGAGGGGGAAGAACCTGCAGCTGACCTTGAACTGCATGGGTCCACTTATACACAGACTTTTTCAATTAATGTTGTGTCTATTCCTCATGATTTTCTTGGTGATATTTTCTTTTCTCTAGTTTACTGTAATAACACAGCATGTGTTCCTCACCTGTTCGTGCTACTGGCAGAGTTTCGGGCCAATAATAGAGGGTTGTGTTCTGGGGGAATCGGGGCTACACGCAGACTTTTGGCTGCTCGGGGGTTAGCACCCCCGCACCCCCATGCTCTGTGAGGGGCAACCGCCCATGACGTTTTTGGGAAGGACAAAGCCCCCCAGGAAAGCTGCTCATGGGGGAGGGGGGGTGGGATGGCGGCACCAGGCAGGGGATGGTCGTCCCTGGGTGCGACCGAACTCCCACAACACGTCCAGGGAGCCAGGACGGAGGAGATGTCGCGAGCGCCGCTCCTGACGGCCTTTTGCCCCCGCGGCGCTGCCTCTGCTGCCCCGCTGGCCCGAGGGGCGAGGCTCAGGCTGGGACCCCAGGTGGAGCCGGGACCCAGAACCTACACCTGAGCGGCCCAACATGGCAGCTGCCAGCCATGTGTGCCCACTTGAAGTTTTTTTTGGAAAACTCTTTTAATTGAATTTATTGGGGTGACACTCGTTCATAAAACCATACAGGCTTCAAGTGTACAACTCAGTAAAGCATCATCTGCACACGGCACCCTGTGCCCATCACCCGAAGTCGAGTCTCCTTCCCCCCCATTTTGTCCCCCCTCCCCCCTTCTCCTCTGGCTGTCCCCGCACTGTCAGCACGTCTGTGTTGTGTGTTGTGTGTGTTGTGTGTGTGTGTGTGTGTGTGTGTGTGTTTTCTGCTTAATCCCTTCACCCTTTCTCATCGCAGTCCCCCCTCTCCTCTCCAGCAGCTGTCAGTCTGTTCCGTGGCTTTTTTTTTAAGGGGAATTTTTTGTAAAAGATTTTTATTTATTTGTTTTTAGAGAGGGGAAGGGAAGGAGAAAGAGAAGGAGAGAAACATCAGTGTGTGGTTGCCTCCCACACGCCCCCCACTGGAGTCCTGACCTACAGCCCAGGTATGGGCCCTGACTAGGAATCAAACCCGTGACCCTCTGGTTTGCAGGCCCGCCCTCAGTCCACTGAGCTACACGAGCCAGGGCTCCACCGCTTTCTGTTACTTTGTTCATTAGATTCCATATACGAGTGAAATCATATGGTGCTTGGCTTCCTGGCTGGCTTATCTCACTTAGCATGATAGTCTCCAGGTCCATCCACGCTGCCACAAAAGGTGACACTTCTTTCTTCTCTACAGTTGAGCAGTATTCTGTTGTGTAAGTGTGCTCTTAATTTGTAATTAAGTGAACTTAGTCCAGCTTCTCAACTGCACCAGCCCCATTTCCTGTGCTCAGCAGCCGTGCGTGGTCCGTGGCTGCCACACTGGACATCACAGGTGGAAACCACGTCCATCACTGCAGAAAGCCCTTGGATAGTGCTGATTTCTGTGGGGGAGGGAGGGGGGCTGGGAATGAGGGAGAGCCAACCGTATCCTTTTCTGGTCAAAGAGGGAGGATGGCAATGGCTCTGGGGTCCCCTGTGTGGGCTGGGACATCCATACAGCCAGCCTCAGGGGTCAGGCCAGGCCTGTCCCCAGCTCTAGAGGCCCCTGGGGCAGCCTGCTGGGAGAACCCGGGTAAGGGTTTAGGACCAGCACAGGCCCTGCTGACCTTGCCTCAGGCGGCATGACCCTGCTCAGGAGCGAGATGGGACAGCCGTGCCTCCAGGCCCCAGCAGGTGCCACCCTCAGCACTGTCCTTGATGGCCCGTCCCAGCAACGCTTCCCAGCCACTTTGGAAGCAGGACCACGACGTCCCGTGTACCCCCCACCCCCAGCCTCCCTGCCCCGTGCCTACCGCGCACCCCCCCAAGTACTCTGCGAGGGCTACCTGGCTTATGGTGGATGTTGCCCAGTGAGCCGCACTTGGAGGTCACCTTGCTCAGGTCCACGGGTTTGTAGACTATTTGCACCTGGACGGGAGAGGACGCGTGAGGGGTGGGCAGGGGTGAGGGGAGGACAGAGAGAACAAAACAGGATTATTCTATGAGGAGCATAACACAGCGAGGGGCAGCTGGACAGCGTCTCCTGTCTGCCGGGGGAGGCGCGCCCTGGTCGGCGTGGTGGGAAATCGTGGCTGGGGTTCCTCGACCCTGCCCCAAGCTGGCTGGGTCTTCTCCAGTCGCTGTGGGCTGCAGCCTCCTCCGTTCCACAGGACAAGGCCCCTCAGGGAAAGCCAGGGCACTCTGTCACTGTGCAGGGTTTGCTCAACACACACAGAGCAGCCACTCTCCCCTGACAAGAAACAGACGCGTCACACTCAGTGAGGACGTGGAGGACGAAGCGTCAGCACCATCCGTTCGCGTGGCATTTGAAGTGTCTCGCTGGGAAAGCGACAGGTCTGCTGGGCCTCAAAGAAGAGAAGGAGGGGTGTGGGGTCCAGAGGCGGGCTTTCTCCCAGGAGAAGCTTCCAGAAACCCCAGCACCCCCACAGCAGGAGCAGTGATGGTCAGCGAGCAGCACCTGGAGCAGCGCGGTGACTCAGACGGGACAGCCAGTTGGCACCCGAGTGTCCTGGAAAGTGGCACGAACAGGAGGGGCAGGTGGCCCAGCAGACGCTGCAGGGTTAGTGTGGCAGAGGGCAGACGCAGACACACGCGTCCGGGAAGGCCTAAGGCTCCAGGGCGGGCGCAGACTGGGCCCCAGGCTCCACCATGTGGCCGGGCGCACTGCCCATCCCCCCAGTGGGGCTGCGGCCCCGTGCTGCCTGCTGACCTCAGCCCAACAACCAGATTCCCTGGAGGGGGCACCCTCGAGGGAGTCCGCACCAGCAGGTGGGTCTCCATGGCTGTGAGAGGTCCCCACAGGGTCACTGAGGGTCACTTCCCAGCCGTGACCTTGTGTGAGGTCACCAGAGTCCATTCGCCCAGTGGACTTGTGCTCCCTGCCCTGGAACGAGTTACTCGGGAGAGAGGTGGCCTCGTGCCTGAGAATGGCTTTAATTAACAAGGACACCAGAAACAAAGGAGGGGTCGGTTCTCCTTCGGTCAGAACCATCTGGAACAATCCCAGATGGTTCCGGTTCATCAGAATCATCCTGGTGTGTGCCATTGATGGAGAGGTGATTGAGTCCGCAGGTGGACGTCAGGTGGGTGCACCCAGGCGTGGTGGCCTGCACCCGTGAGGGCGGGGGTGGGTGAGGAGTGATTCAGAAAACGGGCCTGGGAGAGAGCTGTGCCCTGGGGTGGGTGCTGAGGGGGTGGGCACTGAGGGGGTGGGCAGGGAGCCACAGGGAGAGGGATGGGAATGTCGGTGTGACCCAGGAGGGGGATGGGAATGTTGGTGTGACCCCTCCTGGCAGGAGGGGGATGGGAATGTTGGTGTGACCCAGGCTTCCTCCTCTTCCCTGGACGAGGCCCGGACGAGGTAGCCTGTGAGAGGAGGGCGTGGGATCCACCTGAAATGAGTGGCAGGGAAGGGTGGGGGTGGGATCTAGGGCTGGAGGGTGTGGGGTCATGCCAGGTTTGGGAGGAGCCCCAAGCCAGCTGGAGGCAGGGGTTCCCGAGATGGAGAGGGAGCAAAGCCTGCTTGCCAGGAAGCCACCTCCAAACTGGGGAGCGGAGGGCAAGCCAGAGGCCAGAGCCCAGGCTGGGGGGTCCAGTGCCCCAGAAACACCTGCGGCTGGCACCGTGCAGGGGCGCGCAGCCCGCCGGCCGCCTTTCACCAGGAGAGCTTTCTGCGCAGGCGCCCCCTGCCACTGAGCCTCGGCCGTGGATCAAGTGCCACTCTGGGGCCCCACGGGCCGGCCGAAGGAGAGGGCAGGGCAGACAGGAGGTGCCCGAGAACGGAGGAAGTCCCCTGAAGTCCTGTAACTGCCACCAGCAGCGGGAAGGTACTCTCTCTTCCCCATCCCCCCCACCCCCCACAAGGAGCGCCTGCTGTCTGCGGCCCGCTGGACCCGGTCTCAGTCTCCCCAGCCCCGCCCCCCTCCCGCCAGCTGACCCGACACGAGTGAAACCGGGAAGTGCGTGCCTTCCCCTCTGGCCGGAGCCCAGTCTGCAGCGCAGCCAGAGGACCGGGAGGCAACGCTTAGGCAGCAACGCGACCCTGTGACCTCAGGCGGGGGTGGAGGCGGGGGCGGGGACGGGGTGGTCCCTCCACCTCTGGGCAGCAGACAAGGTGGCAGCCGGACAGGAGAGCGGGGGCTGGGGGACAGAGGAGACACAGCAGACACTGTGAGGGAGTGTTAATGAAGCGCCATGCAGCAGCCGCGTGGTGAGTGCCCACACCCGGGCAGAAGCACATTGCAAGAATAAACCCTCGGGCTGGACGAGATGGGGGCGGGGCGGCCCAGGCTGGGCATTTTGTGGGGAGACAGCCCCCCCGCCGGGGACCATCACCACTTCCTGGGCTGCCAGCCAGGAGCCAGGTGCCTGCTCTCAGAAACTATCCTCTCCCCGCAGGTGGACCTCGGGGGGGTCTCGAACCTCCTGCTCCCCAGCGTGTTCGGCTGGGGCAGTGAGGAGGGGGCTGTGGAGGAGGGGAGTCTCAGGATGACCAGCCTGTGCCCGCTGTTGCCCAAGGGACAGCCGGGAGGAGGACAGCAGAGCCAACCACGTGGGGAAGTGGGGACGGCAGGGCAAGCCTCGGGGGCAGTGCGCGGGGCGCAGGAGCTCCCCAGGAACGCTGAAGGCAGACTTAAAAGGGCTCCAAGCAGCATTCCCAGATCAGCCCTGGCCTGCAGGCGGTCTGCTGGGGCGCTTCTGCTGGGCTCCTTTGCCTCTGAGAGTCTGCGGGGGGGTGGGGAGGGGAGCGGGGGGCGGGGGGGGGGTGGTGCCGGGTTTCAGCGAGAGCAGAGGCCAGAGGAGCCGGCACTGGCTGCCCCTGCACATGCGGAAGGCAAACGAGAGCAGAGACTGGGCTTCTCTTCCTCTGACAGTAAAGTTAAGACCTTTGTATCCACTCGTCAGAACAGACGGGCCAGGTGTCCACACTGGAGCCACTCAAAGTGAACCTGCCCAGGTGACAGGGGAGGTGACAGAGCCATCCCAGGTGCTGCCACCTTCAGCCCAACCTCACAGGACGGTGGGCTCCCAGGAGCCCGTGCTGGGCGGTGGGAGGGGTCACAATGGGCGTTTGTGCTGGGAGGACCCCGCCTGCAGGTGTGAGCCAGAGAGGGTCAGCCGTCTTCCCCGTGTGGCCCGTGCAGGCCGGGGTGGGGGGGGCCGTGAAGGCTGGGCCCCCCTCCTACAGCAGCGGGCACGGGTGCGGGGAGCCTGGGCTAGGTTTCCTTGGGGACACAGACTGAGAATGGTTTATTCTGTGCAATGTCTCGCAAAGACACACACTCATGCTGCTTCTGGGAAACCAGAACCGCAGTCGGGCGCGGGGAAAGTGTGAAGGTACTCACACTGCCGCCTCCGGGCACGTGTTTGATATTATCCTTTGAGCCACACTTGGACTGGACGTTGCTAAGATCCAGCTTCTTATTAATTATCTGCACCTTTGACAGCCAGAAAAAAAGATGAGTAACCCGCTCCGTCCAGACCCTGCTCTGCACAGCTGCCCCTGCCCGCAGGGCGGGGCGGGGCGGGCCCAGGCTGCTCCCCAGGTCGGCATTCCGGGACGTTGGGTGATCCGGAGGTGGACCCCACCTTTCAGCACGGGGTTGGCCAGACCTCAGTCAGGCGGCAATTCCTCACATGACTAAGGGTCCTGTCACCGAGGCGCCTGTGGAAGCCCCTGTGAGGCCCAAGGACCGGAGCTGAGTGTTCCCGAGGCCGGGATGGAAGAAAATGTGCTCACTTATGTCACTAGACGAAGTAAGGAAGAGTCCCCCCCAGGTCCTCCTCCACACCCGCCAGCCCCGTCAGAGCGTTCACCGAGACCTTCCTGCGGCTTTTCTCCAGCTCACCGGGCAGTGGGATTGCCTGCGGGTGCTTTTTAAAAAAATCCCAGACCCCACCCTGGCCCAGAATTAGAGTCTGGGTCTCTGTGCTTCTGAAAAGCGCCCCTGACTGCACGGCTGGGTTCCAGGGTCACTGACATCATGAAGAAGATGCAGCTGGCTTCACAGGGAAGGTGGTCCCTACACCCTTTCCCTGTGAGGACCTGGTCTCGTGGAAGGCAGGGCAGGCACTGCCCTTCCAGCCATCAGCTCCCCCTGGCCCACAGCCCAGCCAGGTGCTTACAGGGAACTGGGCGGATGGCCCCAGGGGTCTCCCCACTGTAGCTCTGGGAGGCTCCTCTCTCCAGGGGTCAGGGAGAAGGGGTGGGGATATCAACACTTAGTGAAGGATGACTTTGACCCAATTTGTTGAAAAACTGTGGCGCAGAGGAGGAGAGTTGAAAAACTCCATTTTAGCCCTGACCGGTGTGGCTCAGTGGGTTGAGGGTCCTCCTGCAAACTGCAAGGTTGCTGGTTGGATCCCCAGTCAGGGCACACGGCTGGGTTGCAGGCCAGGTCCCGGGACAGGGGGGCGTGCGAGAGGCAGCTGATCAATATTTCTCTCACATCGAGGTTTTTCTCTCTTTCTCCCACCCTTCCCATCTCTCTAAAGATGAATAAAATGTTAAAGAAAAAAAAAGAACAACTGCACTTTGTCCGCTAGAGTGACACCACCCTCGTCACCAGCCGCCTCCCCCTCAGGAGCTCTGTGCTTGGAAACACTGGGCCACAGTCTGTCCACCACGGCCGTAAATAACTGTCAGCTGGAATTCCCAGTTAAGAACCAGCATCGCTGTCTGAGTCACTGCCTCCGGAGCCCAGGGACTGTCAGGACGGCTGTGGCTGTGGGTCACAGCCCTGGCCTGGCTCTTCCTGGGAGAAGTGTCCCACACAAACTCAACGGCCAGAGCAGGCCACCGAGGGGTCCACGGGTCCTCGGCAAATGAACTGAGGACATGACAGCAAAATGCGTCCATCCTACTCTTTGGTGTTAGAGGGGCCTTTCCTGTATTGAATTCTTAATTATTAAATCATTAATAGTAGATGATGTTTATTATTTTCAGATGTCTTTAATCTGGCAAAGTAAAAAGATAGTAATCTTCTCTTGGACGCCACCCCCAGCTTTTTTCTTAGTCTGAACTTGAAAACTTGGGAAACGTGTCTCTAACCTACCTTTTTTTTTTTTTAGATTTTATTTCTTTTACTTATAAAGAGAGAGGAAGGGAGAGAGGGAGGAATGGGCTTTCTTGAGCTGCTTCTTAAGGAGTTTCGGTCACCCTGAATTGGTTTGTGCCACCCTCAGATTTCAAGTAGTCCCACATGACCTTCTTTGGGGGTCATTTGTTATTTACAACTTTGAACTGCATAAGTCCCAGAGGCAACCTTGCCTATTTTCACAAAGAGCTGTTTAGAATTAGAAAACACCCACCCACACTCATAAAACAAGAAAACTTAAAGGATGAGGTAAAAGAATGGGAGGCCACTAGTCCTGACAATTACAAGATGAATCATTACATTTAACTCTGAGCTTCCTGGAAGGCAAGGCAAAAAAGAAAACAGGATGGGTTACATAACTCTCCTTATCTGACAAAGAAAACTCACTAGTTTTTCAAGGAAAATAACCTGTTTTCTATACAAATCTGTATAAGAACTTCATCAAATGAATCAAGAGACATTGAGCAATAACAAAATCTGCAAATACATGAATTTTTTTCCCTCCTAGTGTGGCTTTTTCGTGTTCTAATCCCACAAAAAAGGCAATGAGCTTTCGTGGGATTTGGCAGTAGACCCAAGGATATTTACAAAACAAACATGAATTACTGTTGGTCGTCAAATTAAGCCAACACCCTTTACAGAAGGTTGGATTTACAGAAAGGGAAGAAAGGGGAATGGCCGGCATTCACAAACTGGAACCCTGAACGACGTCTCCTCTGGAGTAGCACGGGGTGGGCACTGAGCCTCGGGTCTGGCCAGGCACTGGGAATGCCCACGGCGGGGGGAGGACAAAGTTTTGGAAGCTCCACAGTTCAGTCTGGAGACTCCCAGCCAGGAGAGGAATTCCTGCGGTCAGGTTTCAGCCCTGCAGCAGAGGGTGGGGTGAGGTGGGGCGGGTCCACTTCAGTTCAGTCTACTTCCCGGAGGACCCAGAGCAGCTCTAAACCCTCATTAGGCGTTGACCGTGTTCCCTGTGTGCTCAGATCTCCAAGGTGCTCCAGCGGGCCCAGAGCCCCCCGCCCCCCCAGAGCGCCCCCCCCCCAGAGCGCCCCCCCCCCCGCCCCCCAGCTCCCAGGCCGGGCCAGCGGCCACGGGCTGTCCCTGGTGAGGTCTGTCTCCAGCGTCGTCTGGTGCTGCTGGGCCCGACCTCGCCTCACCGGGTCAAGAGGCCCAGCGCTGAGGACTGGGAGTGGGGTGTGCTGGTGGGAAAGCCCAAGGTGGTCAGCCTGGGAACTGACACAGGATGACTTATCTAGGCCTGCTAAGTAAACCAGCCACGGAAGAGATCAAATAACAGTGGAGTCACCTGTGGAACTATTGACACTGTTCCTTTAAACAGAGACTGCCCCAAGCGTCTTTCAGCTGATTTGACTTAAGGGAGATTGTTTCAGAAGCACAGGTGCTCAGAGTTTCCAGGCTGTTCCAGAGGAGGGTCCCCCGTCCCCTCCCTTCCCCTCCCCTCCCCGCAGGGCCTGCACCTGAGTCCAGGCTGCCTTGAGTCCAGGACAGGCCAGCTATCCCAGGTAAAACTTCACTTCATTTACTCCGCATAAATGTTCTTCACCTGCGCTTTTAAAACAGAGTACTGGGACTTTGCCAATAAATGGAATAAATTTAAAAAGACTTGGGTTCTCCTGAATGGAGACAGACGCTTACGGCATTCCAGCGCCATCTTGTGGCCATGTGGGATCTTGCAGCCCAAGTCTGTCAGCCTGAGAGCTCTGGTAGGTTGGTGTCCTTCCTGGGCTCCTAGGTACTGTCCAGCTGGGGGGTCTTCACTAACCAGGACGTCCCCAGAGGAAGTGACTTTAGCTCTAGGCGCTCAGAGCCAACCAGACCACCCCACGCTCGGGCCCTGTGCCCTTTTTTGGCTGTGACTCTGCAACCCTTCTCAACCTTGGCAGCCACAGGGATTCCCGGTTCTCCGGACCAGGCAGCCTTGGCCCCAAGTGAGCACTGTCTCTCACCCTGGACGGCAGGGGGCCCCTGGGCTTCCTTCCGAGCTCCCACCGTACCGCAGAGGGGCTGCTGGGGCTGGTGTTGCCCTCGCCTGCCCTCTACACCCTCTTAATCAGCTCCGACAGCCTCCCACGCTCACCCACCGCCCATGGCCACCGACAGTGGAGCCTGGGGCTCTCAGCTGTTGGCGCCTCCAACGTCCTCTTTCTTCTCCTCTTGCTGGAGGATGGTGTCCTGTCCGGCCAGGGCGAACGCCCAGCGGACCCAGCAGGACCTCCGCGATCCACTGTTAACCCTCCCTAGCTCTTGTGTAAATGAATAAGCTCCAGCCTAAACCCACACGCCACTGGCTCTCCCAGGTCTAACTTGATGTGCAGAGCAAAAATCTCCAGTGTGCAGTTTCCCACTGTCCTCTTCCAGCCCGTGTGCCCAGCACCCTATGCAGGGGATTGTCCTTTCAAAGGCCAGTGATGGTCCCTAACAAGGGTCTGTCCTAACTTCTCTGAATTGAGGCCACAGGGGCACAAAGATTGGTCTGGAGGCAAAGATGAGACCCTTCCACAGATCGCTGAGCAGAGCTAAACTGTGACAACTATGAACGAACGTGCCCTCATTATAACCAAAAGGACTGTGCTAATTGCACCCTCCTCAGGATGTAAGGATGCCAATTTCACATCGCTCACACCTTCAGTGAGTAGGTTTTTTAAAATGTGTTTTAAATGCTGGTTCTCTGTCTCTGTGTCTGAACTCCCCTGCTCCCCTCACAAAGAAGGCTGGGGTGGGTATTTGGGAGAGGGGTGCAGGACAGAGGGGGCGGCCTGGGCTGGGTCTAAGCTGACTGAGAGCCAGGTACGTGGAATCTGAAAACAGACACAGGTTTGGGACCAAAAGAGGAAAACTAGTTATCAGATCCAGGGTCTAGGAGGGGCGCTAGGAGCTGGGGTTGAGGCCAGAGGTTAGCAGGTAAGAATTCAGGGACACTGGTTCTTAGCCTGAACTGCACACTGGGAAAGCCTGGGGAGGCCCCCTTGCGGGTCTAACAAGCCCGGGAAAGGCTCTGGCATTAGGATTTTTAAGAGTCCCACGGCAAGCCCAGGCGGTTCCCCCCACAGCTGGGACTGGGAGCCCAGCCCCAGGGCTCCAGGAGCAGCAGGCTCCCAGATCTGCAGTGAGGTGCAGCCGCTGGCCTCGCCTCCCCTGTGCTCCCATCTCTGATGGACCCAGCTAGTTATGTGGGGTGGACAAGTGATTCTTCCGCATTTTCCTTTTCAAATTAAGAACTTCATTTTGGACTCTTCAAGCCATACACGTTCCCTGCAGCAAACGATGAAAACAGAAAAGTGCAAAGCAGAAAATAGAAGTTTTACATTGTTTTTCGACCAGTGACTTATACTGACGGGCCGTGGTTTTCAGCCTGCAGGGTCCAAGCAGGCAGCCTCCTGCGTGTCCTTCCCCAGCGTGGGGTCAGCCTGCGGGCAGCCCGCTGTTCCCGGAGCCGCCGGGCGAACACCCACTGGGCGGCTACTGTGCGTGGGCTGCGGAGGCCCGAGACCTCAACGTCCCCTCGAGAAGCCCTCAGCCCAGTCCCGACGGAGGACACGCGGACGTGTCGACAGACCATTTTAAAAGCCTCCTCTGTGGATCCCAAGTGCCTTCTTTTCTCCTTTTCAGTTTTCCTGAGGAGTGACGTGTTGATCTTTGCTGTTATGGCTGAGGTTTTCTTCGGTTCAGGTGATTTTCTAGGTTTTCCGTGGAACTGAAGGAGCGGCTGTCGCTCCTCCTGCCCCCGCGAGTCCCGGGAGGCACCCTTTCTCCCCGAGCCTTCCGCAGGCGAGGGCGCCTGTGTGCGCCCAGCGTGGCGAGGCGGTGACGTGGGCCCCCCCCGCATCGTGTCACTGGCCCTGGCTCCCCGGATGCCTCTTCCCGTGCAGTGGGCGGTGGCCGGCAGCCCGGGGGAAGAGCCCCGCCCCCATCCCCGACACTCAGCGGAGCTGTGAGAACCCGGCCAACCAGGGCCCGGCCGTGCCAAGCCAACCTCGGATGACCCGGGCTGGCAGGGGGACTCGGGGTGTCTGCTGCTGTGTGCAGAGCCGCGCAGGCTGGGGGACGCTCCTGGCTACAGTGTCCCTCCAATGAGCTGTCCTGGCGCTGGTCACAGCTGCCTAGTCTTCCCGGCGTGCGGAACTGGCCACCTGCGGTTTGGTTTCTCCTTGTTCACGACAGGGGCCGACGGCCACTCCGTGCCACGAAAACAGGCACACGAGGGACAGGGCAGGCACAGAGGGAAGGGTGCCGCTGCCCGTGCGAAACACCCGCCGCCCTGGACACCAGCTCCCGGAGGTCCCTCTGCCCCCGAGGCGTCACAGGAGGGTCAGCCTGGCCCCCACACCCCACACGGCTGCCTCCGGGCTCCTTCTGGGAGGTGACGCGTTTCACCGAGAGGAGCACCGGCCGGCACTGGAGAAGCGAACACCCCGGGGTCCGAAGACCAGCTCCACCCCAGAGGCGCCTGGACCCCCGCCGGGCAGCAGCGAGGGTGGGCAAGGCCGGGCAAGGCCGGGCAAGGCCGGGCAAGGCCGGGCAAGGCCGGTGGGAGGCCCTGCGGCTCCAGAGGGCCGAGGTGCGGGGTTCGGGGAAGGCGGCCTCTGTGACGGCCCCTCCAGGGGCAGCCAGGCCCCGGCCAAGGGTAACAAACAAAACCGGCGGAGCAGAGGGTGCCCGCTGTGGGGGCTGGGCCGTCCCAACGGAGAGGGAAACATTGGCTGAGGGCTCTGAAGCGCTCCCCCTGCCCCCGGGGGGCCCACTGCCCCCAAAACAGCCCAGACGGAAGGCTGGACATATTTGCGCCCACACATGCCTCCTCTTCTCCCTCCCCCCCCACCCCCCGCCATGGTGGGTGCTGGGGGCGGGGCCGTGATGGGCTGAGTTGTGTTCCCCAAAATTCATAGGGTGAGGTCCTAACTCCCAGTGCTCAGACTGGGCCTGTGTTTGGAGACACGGCCTGTAAAGGGTCATCCTGCCCAAACGAGGTCATTAGGGTGAATGACCCTAACCCAGTGGGGCCGGCGTCCCTGCAAGGAGGGGAGACCGGGACCTAAATGCGCCCTGGGAAGAAGCCACGCCCAGGGGGAGAAGCCACGCGAGGGCACACGGAGAAGGCGGCCACCGCGAGTCGAGGAGCGAGACCTCAGCAGCAACCAACCCTTCGACACCCCGATCTTGGGCTCTGGCCTCCAGAGCTGCGAGGAGGTACAGTTCGGTCGTCCCAGCCGCCCAGTCTGCGGCATTTCGTGGGTCAGCCCCAGGAAACTCATACATGGAGGCGCGGACAAGAAGGGGAGGGAGGGCCCAGGCCAGGCCCCACCTCCCTCCACCTCAGGCCCGCTGGACCTCCTGTGTCTCCGCGGGAGGAGACCCCAGCACTTCACAGCAACCGCCTGCCCCTGGACGAATCAGCTGTTCAAAGTAGAACCCCGACTTCCCCCAGAACTGCAGGCTAGAGAGAACCAACCTAAACAAATGTCCGACAGAGGCCAGAGACACCCACCTACGGATCTCTGTGTCACGTTCTAAACACGAGGCAGGCCGGGGGGCCTCTGTGGCGTCCCCACTTTGAGAACCTCCAGGTCACAGAGAACAGCCCTGGAATCCCTGACACCACCTGATCGGCAGGGGCTGATTCCGGCAGGGAAAGAACCGGTACTTTCTCTCCCCTGAGCAGGGCACGTGTGGCTTCGTGGTGACCCCAGTAAAGAGCTACACCCCATTGTGGTGACCCCTTGAAGAGGTCAGGAAGAGGCCTGGGTGCCGTGTGAGGAGTGGGAGCCGACCCACTTGCCCGCCTCTGCCCCAGGCGGGCCGGGGGTGGGGGCCCCACACGCCTTCTCCTGGAGTCCTGGGGCCTGCACACGCACAGCCAGCCTCCCCACGCCCTTACCTTCCCGCCTCCTGGCTGGTGCTTCAGGTTTTCGGTGGAGCCAATCTTGGACTTGACATTCTTCAGGTCTGGCATGGGCACGGGTGCAGTCTGCAGGCGGCTCTTGGCTGAAGACGGTGACTTGGGTGGGGTGCGGACCACTGCCACCTTCTTGGGCTCCCGGGTGGGCGGGGTTGGCAGGGATGGGGTGCGGGAGCGGCTGCCAGGAGTGCCAGGGGAGCCGGGGCTGCTGTAGCCACTGCGGTCCCCAGATTTCCCAGATTCACCTGGAAAGGAGCAGGGAGTGAGGCCGGAACTTGGAATGCTTGCCAGTCTGCACAGGCCCTGGGGGCCGCCCGTGCTCGGGGTCCATATCCAGACTGGGAGCTCAGCAGGCTGCCCTTGAGCTCACGCTACAGGAATGTCTTTTCTTCCTGGCCCTGTCACTTGGAGACAGAGACACTCACTTCCCAGGGAAGCAAAAGTGTCCACCAAGGGCCTCCAAGTACCCCCTTGCAGGCAGGCAGCCAGATCCTGGGCCCCATCCAGATCTGATCATCCAACAGAATCTCTAGTGGTGGGGCCTGCACACTGGCTCGTCCCAAGCTCCCCCGAGACTCCTGAGCAGACTGGAGTCTGGGAGCATCCGGGCCAGGCGCTGTGCCTGGGTGGCGACTGAGGCTTAACTTCCCTCAGCTCTGGGCCGACCTGTCAAGGGGAGAGTAAGCATGGTCCTTCTAAGAGTGTGAGATTCCACATCTGTACTTGTCCCTAATGTCATCGCGCTCCATGGCAACAGGACCAATGACGCCTTTTCTCCTTTCTACCTAAGGAGACAAGAGCAGGGACTCTGTCTCCAGACGCAGCCCCATCCCCTCCCTGCCCAGCCCTCCTGCTTCCGGGCCCTTGGCTGGGACTTGGTGGTGGCTTCCGATCCTTTCTGTGTGACCTAATTGCACAGCGGCCTGAGCCTGTGTCCTCATCTGAAGAATGGGGAGTGCGGTCCCGGCCGTGATGTTTTGGAGACCGGATGCAGTAACAGGTTAAAGTGCCCAGGGCAGCGATAGGCTCGCTTCCAGGGTTGAGCATTTAATAACTGCCAGAGGGACTTCCACTCCCAGACCTTGGTTAGGGAGGGTCCTCACCTCCAGCAGGCACAAACGGCTGGAGGCCATGCTCCCCGCCCCACCCGTCAGCCCTCAGCCCTCAGCCCTCAGCCCTCAGCAGAGGGAGAGGAGAACACACAGGATTAGAAAGACCCAGCAGGCAGCCACGCCTGAACAAGCCACGCAAGAAGAGGAGCGGGAATTCTGACTGTTCCAATTCAGGCCCAGCGCAGAAACGGGTGGCCCTGAAGCAGGCCCTCAGCTCTAAAATCTCAGCCGACAAACACGCAAAGAGGGTGGCCCCCTGGGCGAAGCAGACTCAGAATGACCTCTCTCAGGTTTTGCCCCTGCAGGGGGTGGCTTTCTCTGCACTTGCTTGGGAGCTTAAAAAGAGAAACCCACAGAAAGCCTCATTATAATCAAGCTTAAATGGGGCCTCTTCTCTGGGCCAGGGGCACCCAGCCAGGCGGTGTGGCAGAAGTGAGTAAGGTGCAGGGAGGTGTTCGGGGAGCAGGCACCCCCACCCGTCTGTCAGGACACAAGGTCAAGGCGGCCCATGGGGTGTCCTGTCCGCCTGCAGGCTGCCACCCAAGAGCAGGGAAGATCCTAAGAGAAATGCACATCCTTGTGTCCAGTTCTGGCTCTGGTGGTGTGAGTCAGCTGGCGTAATGGTACATGACAAAAAGCAGGATCAGAATCATAGATAAGACCCAATCACAATTCCTTAATCACCCCACATCACAGGTTTTAAACACATGAGAACAACACTGCACGAAAAACCAGACCAACAGGCCTTAGTGAGCAGCCGGACCTGGGGGGGCCGCCAGACTACAAACGCGGTCTGAACGCCACGGCCCGAACACGCAGCAGACGAAGGGCTCTGGGGCGCCCCCTAGGGCCAATGGGCAGCTGGGACGCCACTGCACCAGCCCAGGCTCACGCACAGGCCACCCGAGCACCCGCTGGAGCCAATGCAGGCCAGGGGCCCCCTGAGTTGTGCAGAATCTAAACCCAGTTGCTGGGACATGTCTCAGGTGGGAGAGGGGAGCTGAGCCTGGCTGTCCCCAATCCCCAGAGAGGGCTACTACCCTTTTTTTTTAATCCTTACCCAAGGACTTTTTTTTTTTTTCATTACTTTTAGAGAGAGAAGGGAGGGAGAGAAACATCGATGTGAGAGAGAAGCATCCACTTGTTGCCTCCCACTTGTGCCCAGACCAGGGATCGAATGCACCTGGACAAAGGAATCGAACCTGCAACCCAGGCAAGTGCCCCTGATCAGGAATTGAACCTGTAACCTTTTGACTACGAGATGATGCTCCAACCAACTGAGCCACACCGGCCGGGGCAGGGCTACTACTCTTAATAGCACCACTGGAAGCAAAGTCTCCCTATGGAAATCTCTTCTGCTACTCAGAGCCAGCTGGGTTTTGCGCACAGGAGCACAGGAGGACGAACACAGCCTGTGACAGCTCAGGGGAGCCCTTAGGTTCTGCCCGAAGGTCCCTAACAGCCCAGTGAGGCAGCTGGTCAGAGGTTGCACGGTGTGAAGTCACAAGTAGCGATGTGTCCAGGCTGCAGGCTGCAGGGGCTGGGGTGGTGGTGCTGAGCACCACATCCCAGGGGCCCTGGACGTGGGGTCAGAGGAGCTCTGAGGAGCCCCATTCCTGCCACTTGTTAGTCATGTGGCTGCATTTTCCTTATAGAATGAGCTGGTTAGACTTTGCCGTGCAGACTTTCAGAGCCTTGACTTCTTCACCAGTAAAAAGTGGGGATTTAATATCTACCTCAGAAATTGTCAAGAAGATTAAAAAGAAAATGGCCCTTCTGGTGCCGAGTAAACTGTCAGTGCCTTCAGAGACAGGCCTGGGCTCCAGAGAGCACGCTTCCTACCTGTGCCCGGCGGGGTCTTGGGGGACGGCGTGGTTTTCGCAGGGATCCTGGTGGCATTGGCTGGGCCTTTCTGGCCTGGAGGGGCCGCTCCCCGGGGTGTGGCAATCTTCGTTCCAGGCTTCGTGTCCGCCCCCTGTGAACCGAAGCACGGGAGAGTGGTGTTTACGACTGGGAAAGGTCACTGTCACCTGGAGCCCGTGCCAGCCCCACTTAACCACTTTGGTTCGAAAGAGGCTAAGATTGGGGCGACCCTTTGCCTACTAGATGCAGCAAATGTCTCCCACAATCGCAAGGCCATGCTGGGCACACGGACCCACAGCCCTGCCCAGATGTCAAGTGCCCCGGATGCTGTTTGCTCCCGGAGGGAACTCTTCCCAGGGGTTGTCAACCTGGGTTGTGCTCATGTCTTTTGTAAAAGACAGCGGAGCTTACGGCAATGAGCAGGGGCATTGCCCACCCAGGCCCGGTCAGTAGGCGGGACCCTAGCAGACCACTCCCGTGTGGGTACCACTTTCTGGCCCTCCTGAGGGATCTGGCTGATGGTGGGTGGTTTCACCAGAGGCCCTTGAAGGCACCGATAAACCTGACCCAGAGTGCCAGCAGAGCTAGGTCAGGTTCTTTTGGGCTCTTGTGAGCAGCCCTTAGGTTTCGGTGACTCCTTAGGTGCGGGAAGAGCCCTCGGTGGGTGGACACTGGCATCAGTTAGCACACCGGCCCAAGGGGGAGCCAGCCGGCAGTGACTGGGTTAGGTCACCCAGCCGATGCCCTTGATGTGTGACCCACACTCACAAAAGAAACTGACATTCACCAAGGACCTCCAGAGGGTTTGGGAGGGTGTGAACTAGTGGGACAGGCCCCGCAGCATGCTGATGCCGGTTTCCAACCCCAGAGAGGGCAGCCTGGAAACACTCGTGGCACCAAAGCCAGGAGTGGACAAATGAACCCAGTTAGAGCAGTCCCCACAGCTGGGTCCCCTCAGGGGCCTCAGGGGCTGCTGCTGCTGCTGCTGTGAGGCACCAAGGCAGGCGCAGAAGGAGGGCATTGAGTCCCCCTCCCACTTCAACTGGAATTTTAACTGTTCTACACGATGCTTCTAGGTAAGAGCTTATCTGAAGAAAGGTCTTTTCAGCTTAAAAAAAAAAATCCGTTGGAAAACCACGTTAGATCAGCCTGACTTTTTCCAAAGGTGCTTTCCTTACCTTGACTTTCACCTCCTTTGCTCCAGAACTGCCGGGTCGGGGTGTGGCAGAAGAGGCGTGTTTAGGAGAGGATGGCTCTGGGTGCGCGGCGGGGCTGGAGGGTTTGATCAAAGGGTCTGAGCTACCAGGACTGGGGCGTGTGGGGCTAAGGCAAGGCCTACGTTTCAGGGTTTTAGCAGAGGAAGGTGTGGATGTCTTAAACATAAACATAAACACAAATAAAATCAAAATAAACGTCAGCACATGGGGGGACACGAACGGAAAAAGGACAGCAACTGAAAGCCAATAAAGCAGCAATGGTTGGCAGAGGCGATCTCCACACCGTCTGGGCACGCACCCCCTGGTCCCCAGCGGGAGGGACAGCGTGACCCTGCGGTCTCGGGGCTTGCGCTCGTTTGTCGGCGAGCACGACCCCACCGTGCCAGTACACGGTGTGCCTCACAGAATGTGTGACTGAGCTTCTAAAAGGCAGAAAATGAATAGAGGTTCCAGAATGTTCGTCCTCTAGCCCACTGGATTTTCTCATGTTCCCTCCCCCACTTTGGAGACTGCTGATGTACAGGTGTGTCATGCCCAGAAAGGTGATGGAGATCGCCAGAGCAGATGATGCTAGGGTGTTTCTTGACAAAACATCTCCAGTGTGTCATGGGTCCCCACTTTCTGCTTGTTGCGGGTGGGGAGCTCTCGCAGGCCTCTAATCCCTGGCTCTCCTCACCTCAACAGTCACGCTTGCTGAAATCAGGGCTGTGCCTGTTCCAGGTCTTACAGATTCTGCCCGACACCACTTAGGTTACACACACACACTTCCTGATTGAAATCTCACGTAAAACTAAGCATAAACCGAAGACCCCTGATCTGGCCACTGTTTACTCTGGAGCACGTTTCACTGAAGCAAGGAGCCTGGGTGAGTCAGGCGGCCATGGGGACAGATGTCTGTCAGCTGGGTGACCTCACAGAGGCAGCTGCACTTGACGGGTGGTGTGGCTGGCACCTGTGGCTTGTCCCAACTGCCTCTGGGGTGCTTTGATCAGGATGTGTGGCCCTGGTGGAGGAGGGGCTGCACCCCCAGGAATAAAACCAAGAGGACAAGTCAAGGGGGGTTCCAGGGAGGGCGTCCGAGCTGCAGGGCAGGTCCTGACTAGAACTTGATCGGGTTTCTGGGGTTTGCTCCTCATTGCCCTTGGCCTCCCCACCGAGGTGACTGCGGCCCTCTGTGCGGCCAGTTTTGGCAAGCACAAGGTGCAAGTGGAGGCCTGGGGCTGGTAAAAAGGAAGAAAAGTGTGTAGGGGGGTGGGACCGGCACCCCTCCTTCCCCACGTGCACGAGGTTGCACTCCCTACCTGGCCAGAATCTCTGAGAGGTCTGACCCCGGGCTGTGAGCCTATGAGCCGCTCCAGGGCAGGGGCAGGGTACCCGTGTGTGAAAATAAAGGGATTGCGGAATGTGTGCGTGCATGAGGCCAGGGTTCCCCTCCTGTGTGCTGCGACTGGTAAGCAGCTGTTGCTACCACTTCAAGCACATAGGGCGGAGCCACCCCCAAGCCTCTGCAGGACCCCCACTCCCTCACCAGGGCCTTGTGGGGGCAAACCCTGACTTCCTACAGGGCGGGCACTGCAGGCAGCGGCCCTCAGCACGCTCCCAAGCACCTAGAGCTATGCCCTGCTCCTGGGGACTCCATCTGGGCTCCAGGACTGAGGGAGACCCAGGCCTTTGGGGCAGAATCGATCGTGGAAATTGTGGGTACTCTTAAGAAAAACCAGCCTTCGTCTAGGGCCACAGTGGGATTCTCCTGGGAAGACACTGCTGTGCAGTTCCAGGAGCGTTTTCCAGGAAGCAAAGTCATGGAGGAGGGTCCCCCGCAGTGCGGTGGATGGGAAGCACGTAGCAGCAGGGCGAGGCTCCGGGCGCTGCGCTGCTGCTGAGCGGCGCCTCACTCCCTGCTCCCGGGGGAGGTTTCAGCGACTGACTGAAGCAGCACACCAAACCCCCGCCTCAGCGAGATGTGAGGATGCAGCTGCCGCACCATCGCAGGCACGCATGCGCACCTTGCACTTAGGTGTGTGCCAGGGTTCCCTTCTGTGTCAGTCCCTCCTGCACCCCCAGCTCTGCAGCAACCCAGCCAATCTGCTTAGAGCTCTGGGAAGGCATCCGGCTTCCCCTTGGGTCCTTGCTTGTGCTGGTCCTATTCCTCAGGATGCCTCTTCCCACCCCCGCCTCACCAACCCTCCCTTAAAGAAAGGTCCTCTCCGAGGGCTTTTCCAGAACCCTCCGCCTTCCGCTGGGGATCACTTCCTTGCTCAACACTCTCTCAGCCCCCTAAGGAAATGGTATTTTCTGTATCGCTTAAATATATGTGTATGATGTATGTACATACATGCACATATTGGGTGAGCCTAGACCTGGAGTGGGAAGTGTAAGATGTGCAAAATTCACACTTGTAGAAAATTCAAACATACCTTCATTCGCCACGACCCCCTCCTCGCGACTAGGCTAACGGGCCGCCACCGGGAGCGCTAACGCGTTACCCGCTGACGGCCCTTCCCGGCGGGAGTGCCAGGCCGGACCACCGCTGAGCTTTAGGGGGGCGTCGGAGCACACGCTTCGAACACCGCTGCACCGCAGTGGCCAACGCTCCCGCGCGTCACACACAAAATTAATTCCGATATACAGCATGGCTTCTCGGCCAGCTTGACGGCGGCAGACGGTTCCATGGTTTCGCCAGCTTACCTTGGTTTTCTTGTCATCGCCTCCAGCCCCGTCTTTGCCTTTACTGACCATGCGAGCTGATAAAACACAAAACGAGAATGCACGTTACACCCCCATGCGCAGCTCGTGGGAAGAGCCCGGCGTCGGCTGGCTGGCTTCTCCGGACCGCGCAGCGTGCTCTGTCCGGCCGGCCCCGCGGAAGCCCACCGAGTTCCTTTCCCCTGGAGTCTGCTAGGTCTCTCGTTGTTAGTATCAGCACAGCACGCTGCGGTCATCGCTTGGAGCACCCTGATGAGGGGGCAGCAGGCTGGCCGAGGGGGGACATGCAGGGGGGCGCAGAGGAAAGTGTTTTGGGCACAGGTTGGCATGGGGAAGGCAGGCTCTCTCACGGTCTCCCTTCCTGCCTCTGCCTGGGTCAGCCTCGCCCAGCTGGGGTCAACTCCTCTGCAAGCAGGGCCAGGCACTTGGAAGTGCCACAGGTAGGGCGGCTCAGCCAGGCCCCCTTAAGGCCCCAGCTCATGCTGTGCGGAAGGGTTGGGGTGAGCCAGGCCTCTTCCAGAGCCCGCCCCTCGCCACCGGGGGCTTTGGCATCTGCCCCAGCTGCTCCCTCCCTCGAACCCATCCCACCGCTGACCCGGCCCTGGACGGTCTTCTCGCCACCTGTGGGCCTTCCCGAGGGGCTAATCCTTGCCGTTCCCCCAAATTCGCTATAAACTGGCTACCAGCAAACATCCTAGAGAGAAACCCTGATTTTAGGGCTAAACAAACCACTGACTGCTTTTGTGTTTGAAAAGCCACACCCCTTGGTGAAACTGACCCACTTGTCCACCAGCGTCACCTCTACCTCCCCCTCTCCTGCTGACATTGGTTCTCGCAGGTTCACTGCAGACTGCCGTGGGTGTCGGTGCCGAATGCCCCTGGCCCCAGGACAAGGCGCTCCTTGGAGCTGCTCACGGGCTACTGGCCACTGGGATTTTAGAGTGATGATCCAGCCCAGAGGTTTTGAAACTGAACTGTGAAGAATCAGCAGGAGAGGCTATTGAAATACAGATTCCTGGACCTACCCTGAGACCCTGGAAACCTAAGGTGGAGCCCAGGAATCTGCATTTTAATAAGAGCCCCGGGCAGACCTGATTCACGTCCTTTGCCCAAAGGAACCATCCTCATGCATGTCACAACCACAGCGTCGGCTACATCAGCGTTTCCCAGGGCATGTAAGTGGGTGAGATCCAGTGACTTCGGGAAATTCAAACTACTGTCCCTTCTCGGAGGGCCAAATGTGCACTGGAATGCTGAGGGCTCTGACAAGCTCTGTACCAGCAGACCCTAGTTAACTTTGTTTACCCTGTTTTTTCCAACCGGACCGGACCGTGGAGCTTTCAGTTTCCCCCTGGACACGCCTGTCAACACGCAGCGGGCCAGGACTTGGTGGAACACCACGGTCAGGAAACCGTGTGTAATCTGTCAAGCCACAGTTATTTGTTCCCTCCTGTTTTGGAACTTAGGATATTTTAAAAATAGGACATAGGACTTTTTTCTGTTTTAAATTTTAAATACAGCTTCCTTTGTTTACAATGGTTCCAAGTTTTCTTGACAAGTAGGATCTCATCAAAATTTAACAGTTGTTAAATGCTTAAGTAGCACCAACCCCTAAACCTGGAAAATAACTCCAAATGCAAAGCGTCCTAAATGTATGGACACTCACGACTTGTGGCCATGAAGCCCCTCTGGGGTGTGAGCTGTCCCCTTCTTGACAGGACACGGAGGCTCGCCACTTGGGAACTGCCCCTCCCACCTCTCCAGCCCCCACAGGGCAGCTGTGGTCTTGCTTCCCGGGGCCCTGTAACCCCGCACAGGCTCTGCCGAGGGTGGGGGAGGCTCTTTGAACAGGAAGCTTCCGTTCCTGCTCACTGTCCCTCCCGCCACAAGGCAGGGCCTGTGGGAGGGGGTGGCTGGGCCATCTCCGAATGCTTGTGTGTGCCACCTGCTGCCTGTCGTGTGCTGTCCACTGACAAGAGCAGCAGAAGACAGGCTCGTGCCCTCTGTGTCTCTGGGCAGGAGGGTCTGCTTCAGAACCTTCTGGAAGCCACTGTGTGTACAGGGCAGACCTACCTGGATTCCGAACCTGCCTTGGTCACTTAGGACTCGGGAACCTTCAGAGAGCTGCTTAACTCTTTGAACCTCAGTTTTCTCATCTGCAAAGTGGGACTAATTATACCCACTCAGGACGGTTGGGAGGGCCCTGGACAATGAATTTAAGGCACATAGTAGGCCCTCGAAAGTAGGAGCAGCTGTCTTCCTCTCTGGAGTGCGGCCTACCAACCAGCCTCCCGTGGGCTGACGGACCACTGTGGGGAAACCAGGTGGCCAGAGAAGTGAACGGGGCAGGAAGCACCGGGTGGGGGTGGTGGAGACATGCAGAACGGCGGGCAAGCGCGAGAGGAGCGTGTGCACCCAAGGCCTGTGGGGCGGGGGACAGCCGTGGGGGGGCGAGCAGCAGCACCCAAGTCGGTTTAGTGGCTGTCCCTAGGAACCTTGGAAGCGGCAGGAGTCGCGGGGCCGGAAGCTCAGTGGCAGTGCCCGCAGCCTGGGTGGCACATGGGGTCCCCAGGAAGGAGTGAAGGGGCTCTAGGCACAGACCTTTGAGTTGAGGGACACGGCTGACGGGCTTCCCGGGCAGGCCAGCCACAGGCTGCTTTTTGGATGGTCCCGGAAGGTCAGTCTTTTTTGTGTCCTCTCCCTCAGAGGGGCTCCAGGGCTCTTGATCCTCTCCAGGGGTCCCTGGAAGTGCGGCCCCTTCCAAATCCACCTCTGAGTCTGCCTGTTCCTTCTGCACGTTGGCTTTGATTTCCACATGGAAGGCGAACTCAGGGGGCGTGTCATGCCCTTCCTCCTCGAGCCCTGCGCTGGGCCCTTCGGGCTCCGAGACCTGGGGCTCTGTGGAAACTTCGGAGAGGAAATCGACAGGGAGGGGGATGGCACCCTGAGCTGGGACCCCAGGGGTGCCAGTGGCTTCTCTGGAACCTGTCTGGGGGAGTGGCCCGCCTTGGGCTGGGGAGCTCTGCAGACCTGGGGAGACCTGGGAGGGGGGGGAGTCCTGGGGCGAGGACTCATCGATGTCTCGGTCCTCGTCGACCCCCTTGCCCCCCAGCCTCTCTTTGCCCTGGTCCCCCTTCAGAGGCGGCGTCTCCTGGCGCAGGTGTCCCAAAAGCTGGTGCTGTGTCATCCCCAGGCTACGGTGACTTCCCTTTGTGTCCTCAGGTTCTGGCTCCAAAGGCTGGTACGTGGCTTCTCTGGGGCCTTCGGGCAGGATGGGGGCCCTGGGCATGTGGGGCAGGGGCTGCAGGGTCAGGCCCAGGGTCCTCCAGTCTGTGGGCTCCTCTCCATGGAGCCCTGGCTCTCTGAGGATGCTTTCCTGGACAAGTGTGACACTGCCAGGCTCTGGCAGCAGGTGTCCAGGGGAGGTGGGCTTCGGAAAAGCCAGCTCCTCCTCGGCCCGGTCCCCTCGTTTCGGCCCCCATGCCCGGTGGGGCTCCGGAAGGCCTGCTGGTGGGGGCGGCAGCTGGCGGACGGGGTGATGCTGAGAACGGTCGGAGGCCAGGACGGCACCTTCGGGCTCTTTCTCTCCCAGAGGCCACATGGAGGCCCCAGAAGCTTCTCTGCCATGTCCAGGCTGAACCTGAGAGCTAAGCCCATAGGCCAGGGGCCTCTCGCGCACTTTCCCCTGCTCACTGGGGGCTCTCACCTCCTCTGGGTTTGAAGAAGCAGCGGTGGCAAAAGGTTAGCAAGGGTTCACTGACTGTGTAAGAGGGAACACACTTATTTCTTGAAATAAGAAAAGGACATTTAAACAGCATCACCATCCCGTACACTCTGTGCTCACCCGTGTTGCTCGTGTTTGCTCAGAGTGAAGGCTCTCTCGGTCTACCTGCCCCCGACGCTGGGCGACCCTGGGTGGGCACCTCCCCTCTGCGGGCCTCAGTGTTCTCATCTTGGACCCGGTGACCTCTGGGCCCTGCCCAGCACTGGCGCTGCTTGTCCGCCTGTGGCTGGAGCCTGTCAGCACACCCAGGGCCGCCGCACGCCCGCCCCACAGGGCCGCAGGAGCCTCTCCAGCTCTCCAGGGACCCCGAGTGCCCTGGGGATGCTGGCCTCGGGGTGGGTGCTGGCTTGGGCACAGTGAGGATCCCCTCTCCTCTCCCTCTTGCTCTGTTCCCCATTTTACCAAATGAAATCACCAGGGGCCCACAAACCAACCCTGCTTCAAGCCTGTGCTCTGATAGATATCAAAAAACCTAAAGTTGATCATTATCAGGGCTTGAGTCTGTACTAATGGACCTGCCATAAGAGTCCTATCAACAGACACACGATCTAGATTTGTCCAGGTCGTGGACGGTGGAGGGGCCTTTTGCACACGGCGAGGCTTATCGCTGGGCAGCATCTGTGTGGCCCAGGCACCAGCCGTGGGGACTGCTCTCACCTGGGCACGCAGCCGCTGCGTGCCCGCCCAGCTGATGAAGGGCACATTTGTTTCCTGGTTCGTGCATGTGAGTCCTTAAAGCATCTGATGGTGTATTTAGGGCGGGAAACTTAAGCTCTCGGTTCCTAATAAACATATTTTTTTAAGAAACTCCCAACCTTTTGACAAGCCTAGCTGGTCCCGACAGAATAACCCATACAACTCCCCAGGCCTCCTCTCCACAAAACCCAGGACCCCAAAGGGTTCAGGAAGAGAAAGAGATTGGATGAGGGGAGGGAAGGAAGGTGGGAGAATGCATGTGTTTACACGTATATGCAGTTCTGGACACACATAGATAATACGTGACTGTCCCTCTCGCCCCAGCCCAGCTAGAGTCCATGGAGCTGTGCACTGCCTGCGGGCCCGGCCATGGCTCACCTCCACCTGCCAGCCTTGTGCTGGGCCTCGGTCAAGCCCACGATCTTGCTCGTTTTGTGCTCCCAGTGTCCACCACAGAGCCTGCACACAGCACGTGATCAACAAACGAACCCTGAACGAATGAGCTGATGTTGGGGAAACGTGTGGACTTCTGCCCTTGCCGGGGTCCACAGGCACCTGCTGGGGCCCTTGGTCGGTGCCCGGGAAGAACCACTCCGACAACAGAGGTGCGGGAAGAACGGTTGGCGGCAGACGCCCTGAGCACATGCTGCAGCTCCATGACTTCCTGTCCTCCAGCCAGCCCGGCCGACCAGAGGCATTGGTGGCTGCCAGTCACCCCCTCCCCCTCCCATATGCCCAACAGGCCAGGTCTCCATCACCTTCTGGGATAAGCTTCCTTCCCAGAGCCTCCTAGAAATTGCTATTGATCGGCATGTCACTGTGCTCTGATATACGCAAGACTTTAAAAACCCTCATTAGAAAAGAAACAGGGGCCTCAAACATGAAGAGCAAGCACACCTTGAAAAGTCATTGGTACGTGATTGTTCAGTGTGTGTGTACTGGTGGGTGAGGGACCGAACCATGTAATTGCACTCCTGGAGGAAGCAGCTGGGCTGGGAGAATATTCTGTGCAGTTCCCAGGATACTATGAAATGCTCGGTCAATGTCAACCATCACAGTTGCCGGGGTGGGGGTCCAAGGGCAACAATATGCGGATAAGCAGGGTGGTGGCCTCGGGAGCCCTGATAAACTGTCCCCCAGCAGAAGGCCTGGTCCTCGAGACACCTGCCGAAGACAGGCCTCCCCCAGGGCGAGCGGGACAGGGCTCAGGCCTTCGCACGTGTCCCGCTCGGCACACTGCAGCCCCCCAAGCCTCTCTGTGTCTTAGTGCCTCCTGAACCCCGGACACGGCCTGCCGGAGCTCCGCCTTCTGCAGCAGGACAGAGCAAGAGGAAGATCTGCTACCTGGGCTTTTGTTTGCACGGCTCTTCTAAAATCCGAGTGTTTGACTATAAAACAGACCGCAGCCCTTTGGCAAGTGAAGTGTGTTTGTGCATCACCAGTGGTGGTGGGGGGGGCGGTTTACAAGGCTTCACTGGCCGTCTGGACCAGCCGCCCCAACGGGGGCATTAAATATCGGCCTTGGGAGCAGAGGCGGGCCCCTCCGTGTATTTTCACAGGTGTGGTACCGATGCCCTTTGCAGATGGCACCTGGCGTCCATCTGTGTATCTATGAGATCCTAGGCCACTGTTGGAAAAACTTATAAATTCCGTCAGCACAGCCGTCCGGCTTCCAGCAGAGCCGTGGGCCGATGTCTTCGTTGTTGGAGTGTGTCAGGCTGTGTAGACACGGACTGCAGTGAAACTTGCAGAAGAAACTCAGACTCACTTCTGTTTATGGAAATAAATGCTCATTTCCAGAGACCAGAGAAGCCTCTTACTTCACCTAAGCTGAAAAATCATGACCTACAAGAAACAGAGGCGGGACTCCAGTCCTTTAGCACGCGGACCGAGGTTCCCCCTTGTGTGGATCAGCCCCTCGAATGTTTTCGGAAACTCTCTGCAAGCTCAAGAACGAAAACATGCTTTCCTGGGTCACATGACAGAAGAAGCACAGCAGCCCTGGGGCAGGAGCCCCAGTGGGGGCGGGAGGTGTGGTGTAGTTAGGCTTCCAGCACCCCCAGTGAGATACTTCGTCAGAGGCTCCCTGCAGCCAGGCGGCCTCGGCGGTGATGCCCAACTCTGGCTGAATCCCACGTCACTCTCTGAAGAAGAGAGCAGTGCCATCTAGAAGCTGCCACATTACACAGTGGACTCTGGCGTCCATCTGCACAGCAACGGATGAGAAACAAACCCAGCCCACATTGTATCAGAGATGTCTATTTCCAAAGATAAAGAATCTCCAGGACCTAAAAATTGAGTTCTTAAAGCGTTTACACTAAATGGTTGTGGAAAGTCGCTTTTCCCTAACACAGCAGCTCTGGCCCCTGAGAAGGAGATCACAGTAAGGCTTGCAGTGTGCAGGGAGAAGGGCCGAAAAGAACTGGCTTGGTGGTGTCTCGGCCAAGGCCTCGTGCCCAGGACCGACCACGCCCGGGGGCACGACCTGCAGGAGGGTCCCCGGCTGCACAGATTGGAGTTTCTCACTCTCTGTCCCCAGGTTGGACAAGGCCAGCTGTTTTCAGAACGAAACACCTTAGGAACGTCTTAGAAATAGTGTGAGAGCTTCTCTTTCTCTACACAAAGAGCCTGTATCTAGTAAGTGCTGCCACCCAAAAACCTCCTGGCCCCGTGAGTCGGACCCAGAGTCGGCCCAGAGATTCTTCCCAGCGCAGAGCCTGTCTGAGCGCTGCCCTGCCCTTCCTCCCACTCTCCCCCCACCACCCTCATGCCCTGGCAGGCGGTTGCGGCCACTGACCTTGAGTCACATGTCCTGCAGCTTGGTCTTCCAGGCTGGGCGTGTCTCCAATGCCTGCTTCTTCAGCTGGTTTACATGTCAGCGAATGAAGGAGGAGACAAAAGCACAGACAGTTATTGTGTGCTACAAACAAAGCTCTCTGCCTTTTCCGGTGTATTTCTGAAAACATTTTAAAACAGGCACCTCTTACAAGAACCAAGGGGCTGTGCCCCCATCTCGCTGAGAATGTTACTGCTGGGGGTGTCGATGACAGTGGCTCATCACACAAACCCCACCCACCCGCCAGGCACCGAGCTCCAGTAGGAAGGACCCGTCCCACGGTGGGCCCAGGGTCCTCAGTGCCCCGCGTGACAGAGAGGCACAGGGTGGGTGAGGGGTCAGAGGAGCAGGGAAGTTAAAGGCATGGGCTATGGACTCAGGCTGGGATTTGCGTCCAGGTGCCATGGTTTCCTTCACCTCTCTGAGCCTCCCCTCCCCCAGCTGGAGCCCAGGGTGACTTGCTGGTTGGTCCTGCAAGAGAGTGGGAGGATGAACAGGAGAACTTGGGTGAACATGTTTAGCGAAGTGCCTGGCATATGGTAGGTGGCCTAAAGCTGTTCGTTTGTTTTCTCCCAATTACGGGGCAAGTCCTTAATGGCATGCTCAGAACAGGTGCTGCTGGTTAGAGGGGCCAGCAGTGTCAGTGGGTCGCTTCTGGGGTGTCCGGGGCTCCTGCTTCGGGAACCACAGCTCGCCCCAAACATAGAAGACTGAGAAAAGCTCCTGACCACCTCCTCAACGGCACCAAGATCAATAAGCTTCAACACAATGCCAGTTCTGGCACCGTCCTAAACCAGGACACCACCACCAGACAAGGAATATAATGTCCAGAAGGAAGAGTGTGTAAGGCCAGTTAGCCATATGTTCACAGGCACCGGCCTCGTGACCCCAGGGACATGACCCCAGGGACAGAGGGGCCACCACCCCTGAGAAAAGTCTGGGAGTTGTTGGCTGGGCAACCGGTCTTTTCTCCCAGATGTGTGATGACTCAGTCTGTACGCCTCAGATGACAAGGTGCCACACAAGCCAGTGCGGGCCACGTGGGGCGCACGGAGGAGGGAGAAGAAAGACTCCCCAGGTCCCCGGGCTGCTCTGCGATGGGCTGTGAACACCCAACCCACTGGCTGTCCCAGGGCAGCTGGGGTGAGAGGGGCAGGGGCCAGTTCACAGGCACGACCACCCTCTGGGCCCCTTGGGCCGCGCTGCCTGTGCTGCCCTTGAGTCTACCGGTGACGGCTGCACGTCACTGGGCAGTGCCGCCCGGGAGGCACAGCTGCAAGCACAGGTTCGGTCCGAGTGTCTGACCAGGTTAAGGAAAGGAAGCTCCGAGTGGAGGCCAGCCCAGCCAAGGGGCACAGAGTCCTGGAGACAGAAAACAGGAGGGCGTGCCAGGATGACATCACCGTGTGGCTCTGGGGAGCTGGCAGCTTTCAGTTGCTGGTGTGACATCCTGGCCCCAGCGTGGCGCGAGTCAGAAGTCGGAGGGTGGCCGTAACTGGGAGAAGTCGGGGGAGGGGAGGCGGTGTGACGGGGCTGGGCTGTCACATCACATCGTGGCCTCTCTACATCCGGAGGCCCCCAGAGGCAGGGGCCCCTGCCCCAGCACGGCAGGGGTTCCTGCAGTGCGGTGGCCACGCCACACCCCTGCTGGGGTTCGGTGGGTTTCACATGAGAAGTTTTCACCGGGACACCAAGACGCAGGAATGGATCATGCCCAATCGAGGCACGCAACTAAGGCGCACGGCGGTCCAAGTCACCAGCTGAGAGAGGGTCCCCCGACTCTGACACCTCCCACCTCACTGAGGAGGTAAGGGCTGGAGAGGATGGAGAGGAAAGTATTTTTGCAGAGCATTTTTGGATGTAGCCACCCTGCATCCCGGTCCCAGTGAAAGGGGTTCAAGGCATCACTGGAGACCCTCGGCTGTGTCCTCTATGGTTAGCAACACGGCGGACTGCAGTGAGAACCCTACTCTGGAAAACCAGAGGGGGAGAGAGGCTGGCCCTGCTTTGGTGGCAGAGTGAAGGAGCATGGTGGTGGCCCTGCTGTCAGTCTGGGCCACAAAGAATGTCCTGACTTGGGCGCAGGCAGTGACAGTGTGGGGACGCTTGGCACCACACCCAGTAGGACACCATCAGAGACAAGCAGAGGTGAGGCTGGAGGCAGATATTCAGCCCCTGAACAGCAGAGGAGAGAAGAAATATCTGCCTGAATCAAGTGCATCAAGGGGCATAACGGGTGGGAGGGGCCTGGGAGAATTCAAAAGAGGCCCACAGAGAGAAAGGGTCGGCTAAACACTGCAGAGGGCATGGAGGAGCAGCTCCCCACCGCACCAGCCCAGTAAGAATCTCCCTGCCTCCCCATCCTCCCCCTCCCCAGCCCTGAGGGGAGAGGCTGCAACCCTGCAGGAGCCTTGACCTTTACAAGGTGTAGACACTCTAATCAGCAATTGCAGACTGTGTTTTGTGACTAAGGCGACTGATGTCCTGTGATTACCCAGGAGGGATAGGAAGGGGGTTCGAGTTTTTACCCCGGGCAGGGGAAGGGCCTCCACCAGATAAACTGCAAGGGACAAAAACCAAGTGACCCATGAGTTGTTCCTTGGCCCTCAAATGATCTTCACTGTCAAGAATGAAGCATGCCAGGCTTTGAGAACATTTCCTTCCACCCATCATCTCACAGGACGAACTCGCAAAGCCAAAACTGCTCTGCAGGGGGGGTGGTGCTGCTCGGTCTCCCACGGGCGTCCTCAGCATACGGGGCCCAGAGAAAGGCTGTGGCTTCCCAGGTGAGCCCCGTCTTTGGAAGGAAAGACAGTTGTGCCTGGGGACATTTCCCCACTCTCCACTGCTGGTGAAGTCCTGCCCGGAATTCCTGTGCATTGCTTGCGGGGCACCCTCCAGTCACCAGGCCACAGCAGGGACGTGAGGGAAATGAAAGCAGGAGCTCTGGGCTGTGCTAGCCACTTCCTCAGGGCCCGGGCAGCTGTCAGGTGACTCTGGTGGCCCCGTGTCCAGAGCTATTTCTGGTCGGTGCCTAGATGTCTGAGCCATCCCCTATCAACCGTGTCCTGTCTAGGACATGTCCTAGGCATGTCCTGTCTAGGACAGCCTCGTCATGCCTGTTCTATGCAGATATGTTTGAAAAGGTAGTCGCAGGACTGGGTGCTGGATTGTATCACTGACTCCTCCGGGCTTGTCCACTTTAAGAAGATCCTCCAAAGGTGGGGGTCAGCCTTCTGGACCCTGCCGCACACTCGGTGCTCCTGGCGGCAAACTGCTCCCTGGGAGGTGACCTGGTCACCAGACAGAGTCTGAGCAAGAGGCTGGACTGACCTCAGGAGTGGAGGCAGGACCTGCCACCAGCCTGCCTCAGAGAACCCCGTGGAGCTGATGTACTGAAGAGGTGGGAAAGGAGAAGCTTAGAAGAAATCCAGAAGGTGCCCCGTCCCCTGGGAGGCTGGCAGGCAGCCATGGAAGCAACAGGACATCAAGGCATCAAGCTCAGAACAGCCCAAGAGTCCCAGGAGCCGGTGTCTGCCCGCATTCCTGCCTCCCTTGGAGATGAGTGTGACCCCACGCACACCCTTTTCTCCAGGGGGTCAGCCGAGCGCCCAGCCCTGGGGTCACCCTCACCTGTGGTTCCTTCTGGGATCTCCTTGTGGGGCCGAGTGGCTGCCTGCTCGCCGGGGGTGCCCTCATCCACTAAGGGCGCTGTCACATCTGGAAAGCACTGAAAATCACCTTTGGGAGGTCGGGGACGAGCCGTGCCAAGTCCCTCACCTTGCTTCGTGGGTGGGAGTGGGGCGGGGAGGGGAGGCAGGAGGGAACTCAGCCACATGCACAACAGCCACGCCACGAAGCACGCCCAGAGCCACCCTGCCTGGTGCCTCCCCAGGAAGCACATTAACATTCTGCTGCGGTGGCACCAGCCCATGAGACGCCCAGGCCATTTGCCAGGAAAGCCAGGGACAGCCCCCATGTAAACACGGCAGCGGCAGTGAGAGAGGCTGCTGGGACGGTCCTGGGGCTATTTAAAGAAGACATGTTGAAATCGATGACTGTTCGCAGATGTTTGATCCTCAAGGCGGTGCAGGAGGGGACCGGGGACACAGGCAGGCAGCAACTCTGGGGACAGGGACGACGGCTTTGCTGTGAGGCTTTGGGCAAGTCCCTTGTCTTTGGGTCGCGGTTTCGTCTTTGGCAAAGTGGGAGTATCATTTCCGGGTGACCTCCGAGGTTTCCTCCAGCTTGCCCTGTCCCCTTGAGCCCGTGACACGTGGTTGAGAAGCACAGAGTCCCCTCCCTGGGTGGCGATGAGCAGGCCCGGGGCCGTCCAGGGTCAGGTGCCTGACCACTGGCTGCAGACGGGCCTGCTTCCAGGGCAGAGACCAGAGGTGAAGATCAGCCACCAGGAGCTGCTGCCGGCCTCTCATCAGCAGGAGCGCTTCCAAACGGCATTCGTCCCCGAGCCTGGCCCTGGCACACGCCCAGACATTCTGGGCAAACATGTGGAGCTGTCAGTGCTGAAAGCTTTCCAGGGGCCTGCGTCAGTTTAGACAAAGGGAGTCCATGTTAACGATGGTCTCGGGGCAGGCGGGGCGGCCCGGCCCAGCAGGGCCCCGCCCTGTGGGGTGGGAGCTGAAGCTCTGGTGACCCACACACACGCACAGGGCCCGGAGTGCAGTGGGACTTGGTTGGAAGAGTCTTCCAGAATACCACTGCCGGAAAGCTGAGGGCCCTGATTTGGACATCTGGCATGGATCCTGGCATGGGTGTTTCAGGGCTTCCCAGGGGCAGCAGGCGACTTGCACAGCTGTCCTATGAGACCAGAAGGATGTGTCTTGCATCACTGGCTCTAAGGAGCGTGACGAGCACCTGGCCTGGTGTTCTCTTCACCAGGCTGAGCACCTTGGGGTGGGGAAGGGCCACGCCCACTATCTCCTCCACAGAAGCACCTTCATGCCAAGCAGCTGGCAGGCACCTGACAACCACTTTCTGAATTCACCCAAAGGTGGATGCTTGGGGAGGTGCTGGGGCCAGGCTCTCACCCTGCGTGGGACACAGCAGCTGAAGTGATGGGCAGGGCTCAGAGGAGTGCGGGGAACAGAGCCTTGGCCAGCTTGGGCAGGATGGGGAAATGGAGGTGCAGACACTATAGACTCGTTGCTTGAAAGCTGTTCTCAATTCCCTTCTCTCTTGGTTTCACCTAGTGAAGAGGCTGAGAAGCAAAGTGCTTGTTGTCCCAGTCTCCAGGGGTGGCCAGGAGACCCAGTTCTGACAAATGAGACCCAAGTGGAAGTTGGCCAGGTGGGGCTTGCAGGGAAACTCTTGCTTTCTTAATTAAAAGAGAATACTTCTGGTTTGAGAGAATACTTTTGGTTGAAAGAAAATACTTTCTTTCTGCTTTGGAGGCAAATGTGATGCCTGGAAGTGCAGCAACCATCTTGTAACCATGAGGCAATAATGCAACCATTAAAGATGGCAGAAGAAGAAGACAGAACAGCATCGATGACACCAGGGACTGCCCAAGACCAGAAGTGTTATCATGTGAGACAACTATACCTCTTCACATACACATGTGTGCCACAGTTAGCTGGGTTTTCCTGTACCTGCAATCAAACTCAGTCTTGACTGACATAGATGGGAAGCAAGAGAAGGTGGCCAAAATTAGGACCAAAGACACTTCAGAAAATACGTGAGGAGCTTTATAATAACCTAGATACCAAATGTCTAGAAGGGACAGGCCAGAAGATGGGCTGAAATTAACATGGTGGCCAAGGTCCAGAGGCCCAGGTCAAGCCCAGTGCTCAAAACATGAAGGATACTAGTTCAAGACCAGTCCCAAAGTGTGAGCCTGAGACATGCATTGACCTGCTGCTTTCCTCAGCCACACAGCTGCTCTGGAACTGAGTGGCTTGAGGAAGAGTGAGGTGAGTGGGGGCTGCGGGAGGAGTTGAAGGAGGACAGCCCAAGTGGGGCAGGGGCTTCAAGGAAGTGTGCCTGGGCCCTGCTTTGCTGCAGATCCCAGCCTCTCCACGTGCGGCTGCCTCAAAGCACACACATGACAACAGTGCCCACACCGGCGAGCAAGGCATTGAAGCGGGGCGTGGCTCCCCCCAAATTCCTGAGCCAAGCCTGAGCCATCCTGCAAAGCATCGAGTGAGCGTATCTCTCAGCCAGAGGGTCAGGCAGCAGCAAAGGCAGCCAGGAGGGGGCACACAGGGCTCCAAGCACGGCTAGGCTACTCGCAGGCCGGCGCAGGGGCGGGGCTGGCTGAGCGCAGCGATGGGCAGGAGGAGGCCCCACCTTCAGCCGTCGGGGTGCTCTTGGCATCAGAGGTTTCAGAGCCTGGTTCCTCAGATCCGTCATCGGCGGGGGTCTGCAGGGGAGATTCTGGAACATACATAGTGAGCCCCTCAGAATGGCTGCCTCTCCCCACCCCCTTTTCCCCTCAGGGGGAACTCAGGAGCAGGGTATTTTGGAGCCAAAAATCACTCAGCGTGGAGCCCAGATGGATGGAAGGTGGCCGCATGATAAAACCACAAAGGGACCAGTCCCACCCCCCAACACGGCTGTGCCCTGACACCAGGGTCATCAGGCAGAGACACGGGTGAGGAGTAGATGTCCTTGGAGAGAGGAGGCGGTGTCTGTTAGTCAGCCTGTGGTTCCAGTCGAGGTGAGGCCCTCATGCCGACGAGCGGCAGCAGATACCAGAGACCCAAGCCACATAAACTGGGGGCCTTGTCTTTCCTTACTGGGGGGGGGGTGCATGGGGATCACTGCCTACCGTTAATCAATGACAAACCTGGAAAACGCTCAGAGATACTACTCCTTCCTCTGAGAAGGAATTAGCTTAGGATGGATGCAGTGCCTACATCTACCTGGACAGTGGGTGTCTGGAGCCCACTGTGTTCCTTTCATGGAAGGGTCCCCAGCCACCGATCAACCAGCCTTGAGTGGCCCCTGAAATATCAGCCATAGTTATTCATAAGAAAACCATCCTTTCAAAGTCTGAAGCCACAGAAGCTCTGGCGCACTCCGTAAGAGCCGCCCCACCTGGGGTGCGGGCAGCCTTGGAGTCAGTTTCATGATGGGGGGGGGCTGGTTCCAGGCACGAAGCAGAACCCCAAGAGGAAGAAAGGCAACTAGTGTTCAAGTGCACTGTGAGATCAGACACCCCGCGCCCGCGTTGGGAACGTGGTCCCTGCACACCCAGCCCTGGCTGCGCCTGTCCAGCCAGAGAAGGGCTAATTCTAAAGGAGCTCCCAGCACACACAGCTCCCTGGGCCTGGAGTCTGCAAACACCTGCACACCGCCTCAGACAGGCTCCGGGCAGTGATGAGGAAGCCTCGTGCAGAAGCACCAGCCTCAGCGGCCAGGGCCCAGGCACACAGGGGCATGCTGGGCCGCAGCACACGGGCCCCGACACCTGCCGCCCAGCCTGCCCCCAGCCTGCAGCCCTTATCATTAGCATTATCCTTGTTAAACTCCTTGGAGGTCGAAAGGAAGGAGAGGAAGCCTCTTCAGAATGTGTTATCTAGAAGGTATAGCAAGTTAGCCCACCCACACCTTTTAATTCATAGGGTGTGTGTTTTAGCAGCTAACCAGCTTTCACCCTTGGCAGCTCTCTGGCTGCACCCAGTCCTGTCCCAGCTTTTAGCATCTACTGAGACACCCTCTGTTCTCATATTTTACAGGTGGCTCCTTGTCGCTATTCAAACTAGTCTCTGTCGCTTATCCAAAATGTTGCTGGTACAGCGAGCGACACCTTCTGCTGAGTGATACCCCTCCCCGCATAAAAACAACGCATTCTAAATCCTTAGCAGCAGGAACAAATTCGATGAGGACTGTGAAAGCCTTTTAGGTATTACTTGCTTTCTTGGCAAGTATATGCTTTGGGTGAGCAAACTACCTTCACATGCTTTCCTTTCCTAGTAGCGACAGAAAGGTCAGCAACGTAGAACTGCACCGAAGTGGACCTTCGAACGACACGGTTTGCACTGTGTGGGTCCACTCGTGTGAGGGTTTTCCCAGTAAACACCGTAAATGTATTTCTCTCCCTTAGGATTTCTTAATAACATTTTATTTTCTCTAGGTTACTCTATGGAATGAATAAAGTATAAAACACATATAACATACACAGTATGTGTTAATTGGCTGCTTCTGTTATCGGTAAGGCTTATGGGCAACAGTAGGTGAGGTTTTTAGGGGGTCAAAGTTACACATGTATTTCTGACGATGCCAGGGGTTGGCGCCCCTCATCCCCACGTTGATCCAGGGTCAGCTGTATGCATCATACGTCCGTTTGAACAGAACTTCTGCTCACGTTGTACATTAAAGAAGGGAGTAGTTTCAATGAACATGCTTTAGGCAACTCTGAGACACAACATAGTAAGCTGGTTCTTACTGTGCACATTGAATTTAGATTTCCCCTCAAAAAGGAAGACTGGTGAAAACCACTTTTCCTTCTGGACTTTCAAACAAACGAGCTTTTTTTTGAGAGCAGTTTCAGGTTCACAGCAGAACCGTGAAGACAGCATGGGGAGTGAACTGTCACACCCACCTTCCCCGATTGTTCACACCCTTCATTACTGTGGTGCATTGGTTGCAACATCACCTGTAGTTCTGAGTTTGTTTTCAAACCAGACAACCCAAATAGGGCTCCATGTTTCACCGGCAGAATTGACCTGGGGCCGAATTCAGTATGTTGTGATTCTAAGTTGGGTTCCATCCATGAACGTTTAATAAAGAGTTTAATGACTGAAGTTCTATGGGGACCTGACAGAAAGAGGGATGGGAGGCATGTGGGGGGACATGTGGGCCCACGTCCTCAGATGAGCCCGCCCCCCCCACTGCTGCCCTGTCGGGAGGAGCTGAAACTTACCAGCTCAGGCTGGAGGACGGCTGTGACTGGGGGAGGTCAGAATGCACATTTCTTGTTGCCATGACACCAGGCAGGGAGTTCTAGGCCTGCTGGAGGCCTGTTGGAAATTCTGCTTCCCCCAACTCCTCTCTTGCAGAGCTTCTGGCTGGACAGCCTCTGTGCCCCGGGGGGAAATCATGCCCACTCTTCCTCCACCTCCTCCAGCTTGGAGCCCACTTGTCTGAGTTCCAAGCTCCTCTGACTCCCTGTGTTCCTGCCTTAACACGTCCAGAGACGCCAGTCTTTGAAACCCTTGCTTCTCGTGTTCCTGCACCCAAGGCACCTCCTGGTGCCCTGCCTCCTCCAGGAAACCCCCCTGGATAGATAGATGTACCTCAACAAGGTCCTTTCCCACCTTGGAGCTGCACAACTCCCATTCTTTATCCCACACCCCAGGCTGCAAAGTGTTTTACAATTATTTTTAGCATTAAAAGAGAAAGTAGACTGTTTGTCATTTTGTCTCCTTAGAAATGAGCCTGAGGGTCAGAGTCCTTCTCCTGCAGAGGCCAGCTTGGTGCTCCTGGTGGGAACCAGGGGCGGCCGCACAGAGAACAGAGGGCTGTACGCTTCCCCAACTTGATGGTCAGACAGAGCAATGAATACTGTCTTCCTTCGCAGGGGGAGAGGAGGAGGCCAAGCCAATCTGGCCAAAAGACAGTATTTTAGAATATTGAGAACCTGATGCAATTTGTTGATGTGGGTACAGTAGGAATCCCAGAGCTAACTAGCCTGCTGAGCAGGGCCCCGACAGGCCTGTGAGGAAGAGGTAAGGAGAACGTGTGTGGCCACGCGTTTCACATGCGGATGCACTCTGGTTTATAGGTGAACGGGTGTGGCTAAAGACTTGCGGGAGCACCCCATGCTAACCAGACCGACCAGCCCCTGCAGACTTTGTCACGCTGCATGCACTCACGTGGCAAACTGTCCTCTGGAAAGGTAGTTTTGAATGGCCTCACATTTCAAGTTCTCTTGGCCCATTCAAATGATGAGGCTTCTCTCTATCGATAATCTAACCCAGTAAAGTATTAAAACTCTTTTAGAAACCTGGCTGCAAAGCCTTGCTGCCAGCCTTTTTGGCTATGGCTCCCAAGGCCCCGGGCCTGCTGTGCAGGGCTATGCACTCACCTTTCAGGCCGTGGTCCGTGTCGCCCCCGTGGTCTTGCAGCAGGGTGTAGCCGCCCTGAGAGGGGAGATCCTTCCTGTCCCCCAGCCCGTAGGTCCCAGCATGATCTTCCATCATGTTGAACTCCTGGCGGGGCTCGGCCATCCTGGTTGAAGGCCCACCTGGGGAAGTGAGACGGGAGGTTGAGGCTGGGATGCTGAGATGAGGCCAAGTGCTTGGTGGGGGGTGGGTGGGAGGCAGGGGGAGCGAGGTGCCACCTCCTCGGCTGATGGCAGACATACCTCCACGTCTCCACTTCCCACCCCAGCTACCAGATGTCCAGCCTCGTCCCGAACTCTGCATCCCTGCCAAAATGTTGTTTACATGCGTGCGCACTTTGAATCCACCAACATCACGTTAGTTTGTATTCAGAACCACCAGATGGGCAGGTTCGGCGGGTCTGACCTGTTACGTTCAGCACTCTTTTCACTTCATTAAGGAGTGACTGCTGCTGACTAGGGGTTTGATGGCTTTTTTCAATGCAGAGGGCAGGGGCACACAGGAGAGGGCAGGCACCAGCGGGCACTCCAGGTGAGGAAAACGGGGAGCAGGGAGGCATGGGCTGTTCGAGCACATGTCACTAACTGCACAGCAGAACCGCCTCCTGACCGGTGTCCTGATGACCCCAGCTCTGAGTTGGGTGGTGCCCTGGAGGTCAAGGCTGTGGCCTCCACTCGCCTCACTGGCTCCTAGCAGGACCTCAGCTGTGCGTTCTGAGGGCGGGCAGAGAAGTCCCTAACAGGGCCCAGAGTGGGTGTGAGGCTGGGGAGCTGCGTCAGGGCCCAGCCCAGCTGCAGCTGCAGCTCTGCAGAGCCCGGCAGAAACGGTATTGACTCGTACTTTGTTCTTGTCTTTATGGAGAACGTTTCTTTATTTTAAAAGTAACTCATAATTTTGAATTTCTGGACTTTTGTGTATGCCATTTTGCTCTGGTTCACTCATGCCTCTTTCAATTATTCCATTATTTTTCATTTGCTTAAAAGATTTTATTTATTTTTAGAGAGAGGGGCAGGGAGGGAGAAAGAGAGGGAGAGAAACATCGATGTGAGAGAGAAACATTGATCAGTTGCCTCTCTCATGCGTCCAGACCGGGACCAAACCCGCAACCCAGGCATGTGTCCTGACTGGGAATTGAACCAATGATCTTTCAGTTTGCAGCCTGTTGCTCAATCCCCTGAGCCACACCAGCCAGGGCCATTTAATGAACTTTTCTCAGTGGCACACAGGAGCGGCCTTAGTGGGTCAGCTGTTGAGGGAGGAGCTGATAACACATATGGGAGTGGGCAGGGCCTTTCTCCTTCTTCCCTTTGCAGATGTCTAGCTCTCTTGCTTTGGTGATCAATTAATAATGTCTCTGTGGGTGAGGCGTGGAGAGCACACCTGATATCATTCGTTCTCTATGTGAGTTAGCAGTGGCAGAATGTTTTAAAATCTGCAGTCTCGTTTCTGCAGGTGTTGGGCAACTCATATAAATGGTGAACTACAAGGTAGATGGTGCACCTGGGGCAGACCCTCCACATAACTCTTCCGAGACTGATGTTGTTGCTGGGACTCCTGGCTTCTGGCACTGTGTTTATGAGGTCTGTCCAGAAAAAGTCCAGCCATTGCTAATAAATGAGAATGGTTTGTGTGACATCGATGCCACCTGGCAGCCAAGGACAGTGCACTGGAATGCGCATGTGTAAACAGTGATGATTTCACTGCACTAGTCAGTGGGGGTGGAGGTGCCCTTGAGAGAGCATGTGTACAGTGTGGCTGTCGCATTCAAAATGACTGAGCGAGTAGAGCAATGAATCTGCATCAGATTTTTCATTAGGCTTGAACATTCTTCTACAGAACTGTTCAGATGATCCAGAGAGCCACAGCTATGGGCAGCTGGTGACTGGCAGCTTCATCACGACAACGTGCCTGCTCATCTGTCTCATGCAGAGTTTTTTTTTGCAAAACATCAAACGACCCAAGTGATGTAGCCCTCCTACAGCCCAGATTGGGCACCCTGCAACTTCCAGCTTTTCCCAAAGCTAAAATTACCTTTGAAAGGAAAGAGATTGCAGACCATTGATGAAATTCAGGAAAATATGATGGGGCACTTATTGACGATTGGGAGAACTGTGTGAGGTCCCAAGGTAGTTGACTTTGAAGGGGACTGAGGTGTCATGGACCTTGGTACAATGTTTCTGGTATCTTGTATCTTCTTCAATAAATGTCTGAGTTTTTCATATTACATGGCTGGGTACCATCTGGACAGACCTCATATACCAGCTGGCCACTGGCATGGCCATGTCCAGCTCCATTCCTCTCCCTCCTAGGCAGGGCACACTCATGCAGGTGCCTGAGCTCTCTTCTCCATCCATGATGTAGAATAAGATGCTGGCAAGATCTGGTATGGACTAGGAAGGTTTTAAGAATGAGGTCAGCAAGACCTCTGCTGGGTGAAGCAGCTCCTTCTCAGGAGAAGGGGCAGCCGTTCATTCTGATGGAGGCCCTTGTTCCCCAGAGAGCTCCCGGGAAAGGCATGAGACCAAGCCTCCCCAAACCTGTGACTTCTCCCTGAGAACGAGCAGGACTTTGTTTTGGGAAGATGGAAGTCCCCATTCATCCCTTAAGTTTGTGATATTTAAGGCGGTGATATTCTCTACCCTTAGATATGCTGACGGTCTGTTTCCCTTAGAAAGCCCCAAGTCAGAGGAACCCCGCTTCTGAGAGGCTCTAGTTCCATAACCCGAGAACTCGGCTGCCGCTCCCCACCCAGCTCTAGGAAGGCATGCCTTCCTCGCGGCTTCCTGGTGCAGCCTCTCCCGTGGAGTCCTGGGTTCACCACTGCCCAGCTGTTCGTCCCGGGGCCTGGTGCACAGGCCGCCTCATCTGGCTGACTCACCAGGAGCCCCACCCTGGGGGGTGGAATTGACCCAGGAGTTTGAGGCTTCCCAAACTTGCTGGAGACGTTACACCTGGCCCAGGTGAGGTAGGCCAGCCAATGCAGACAAGACGTTTAAGGAGTTCCATGGTATTGTCTTGAGATTTGATTGATCCCTTTCAAGGGCCAGGTTTGCCCTCCTGGAACATGGCAGATGAGGGTGTGTAGGCAGAAATCAGATGTGTTGGCTTCCGCTTTCACACAACGCCTGCTGATTGCCCGTGCCACTCGGTCCAGGCCTCGGTGCTCATTGTGACGGCCGAGTGAGCTCTCGTTTTGTGAATAGCATTAACCCTTTCTCCTACTCCTGACAGTGTCTCCAGTTGGCTGCCTTTTATTTTGGTTTCTTATTATTATTTGGTTTCTTATTATTGGTTTCTTTTATTTCAGCTTCTGACTGACAGGTTTTAATTTTTATATAGTCAAATCTATTTTCTTTTGTGACTTATTTCATTGCTCTATAATACATAAAGATCATGGCCCTGGCTGGTGTGGCTCTGTGGATTGAGCGCTAGCCTGTGAAGTGAAAGGTCCCCGGTTCGATTCCCAGTCAGGGCACATGCCTGGGTTGTGGGTTTGGTTCCGGTCGGGATGCATGGGAGAGGCAACTGATCCATGTATCTGTCACACACTGATGTCTCTCTCTTTCTCCCTCCCTTCCCCTCTCTCTAAAAGTAAATAAGCAAAGCCTTTAATAAAAAGACAATATTTTCCTCTGTTTTTAGTGATCTAATTCTTTGTACTTAGTTTAGCTGCAGCAGGAAAGTGGACATCGACAGGCACACGCGTGAGCGAGCACGGATGGCTGTGCCCAATCAAACTTCACATGGATGCTGAGACTGGAAAGGCATGTCATTCTCACGTGTCATGAAATATCATTTCTCTGCTTTTTTCCCTGTCATTTGAAAATGTCAAGGCCATTCTTAGCTCACGGCCAGACTTGGCCTGTGGGCCACAGCTTACGGATTCCTTCCTGCTTTTGGCTTTTCCAGTGTTTCTTCTTCTCTCCTAACAGTACAAATAAATAGACAAATAAATAAAATAAATCTGTAATGCAAGTCTTAGCAAGAATCATTGTGCATTTTAGTCACCAACTATATTCTCAGTGTGGCTTTTTGCATTTGATGCTGGGCTTTCTTCAGCTGCTTCTAGAGTTGACCATAAGATTTCAAGTCAGAAGCAGTAGAACTAAGGGTCATTCCCGGGGCTTGAGGCAGCAGCCCATTGTTCTGGGGACGGGGACATGCGTCCTGGTACAAGTCCTTCGGCTGCCAGGCCGCTCGTCCGGCCCCACGGGGCAGACAACAGGGTGGTGGGTCTCAGTGCCCTGGCTCCTAATGACCCCCTGCCCCACACCAGCACCACCCCGCAGGGCTGGAGAGAGATGGATGGCGAGGAAGCTGAATGAATTACATGGGCTGCTGGAGAAATTAAATCACCCCTAAAAACACAGGCAGCTATTCACTCTGCAGAATAAATGAACTGTGTGCTTCTCCGGGGCCAACACTTTCCTCTGGGGAGAACAGTGGAACGCATGGGAAGAACTCCGCAAGCAGGGAGGCTCACACGCCGCCCACTCCCGCCCGTCCCGGACAGCAGCGTCCTTAGGTTTATGGATCTCCTGAGTCAATGAGGCCGCAGGAGCTGTCTCTTCAGCTAGACTGGGCCGGGCCACCAGCCCCATGCTAATGTTTAAGGACCTACAGGCCATGCTGGGAAAGACAAGTTCATGTCTGGAGTGTCCCTGAGCATCCACTTGACTTAAGCAGAAACTAGAGCCCAGAGGGAGGATGTCCTTGGAGAGCACAGTGAAGCCACTCTTCCTCTTAGTTGTAAGACAAACACTGAGTGAGCCAGTTCCCTCGGGATGGGACCTGTCCGAGTCACTTACTGCTGCAGCCCCAGGGCCTGGTACACAGCCGGTGCCACACAGCCCCTGTCAAAGGAGTTCGTTCTGTGTGGGCCCCTCACAGGCGGGTCACTGGACCCTCCCAGCAGTTCTGTGAGGTAGCTATCGTCATCATCATTAGCATAGATATTAAGATTGCCATTGGATAGATGAGGAATCTGGCAAGTGACCTGCCCAAGGTCACACGGCCAACAAGAGGCAATGCCAGGGTGCAAAGCTTGCACCCTGACGGAGCACTCCGCCGCCCCTCATTGCCCGTTCTTCCAGCTGGATCATAAAATGTTCCCCAACTTGCT